TCCCCTGTGATAAAATGAAAGTGTTCACGCGAGAAGCGAACAATCCCTTATGTTAATTGTGAAACTTTAAGTCCCGTTGTTCTAACGACATGCACAATTTTGTATCGGATCTCTCGGCCTGATGGTCACCCGGTCCCAACTGTCCACTGCCGGGGGTCACCCAGTCCCAACTGTCCACTGACGGGGGTCACCCAGTCCCAACTGTCCACTGACGGGGGTCACCCAGTCCCAACTGTCCACTGACGGGGGTCACCCGGTCCCAACTGTCCACTGACGGGGTCACCCAGTCCCAACTGTCCACTGACGGGGGTCACCCGGTCCTAACTGTCCACTGACGGGGGTCACCCGGTACTCACCTATCGACTTGCCGCCGCCCCGCCCACCCCCTCAGGTCTGTAAGATGAGCGCTGCATGTATGCAATAATTTTTTAATAATGACCAATATCAGAGGATGTAAAATGCATTGCGAGATTACATCAGAAAAAATATCGAGTTTTAAATGACGTTTCAGATTACCACTAAGGGTACCAAAAACATATTTAGATATTTGACTCAAGGAATTCAAATTTAATGAACGACATCAGAAGCAGAACCAGTTCGTAAAACGAGACATAGTTGAGTCCTATTTTAATGTTGAGGCAATTAGCGAGTGTACGGCTCTAGCAGATCACATGACGTACCGATTACAGCCAATCATGGAATCGATATCTGCTCTAACGAGTTACAATTTAATACATGTCAAACATGTATTCGATACCATGTTGACCAAACCCAAAACTATTCTGAGACCGCTAGTAAACATCAAAATCAATATTTCACAACAATGTGTAAATATTAAATGTTATAAGGTAGTTATGTGTTTTGCTTCAATGGACGTTTATGAGAGGGTAAACATTGATTTAAGCCTGTGGGATGGGGTGGGTCAGACGCACATATTAGTGGTGATTTGAGGCAGTGGGGTGGTAGCGTTGTATCTGGGAGACTAAGTGTTGGTGTTGTATCTAAGTGGTGGTGTTGTATTTAAGCGTTGGTGTATTATCTAAGTGTCGGTGTTGTATTTAAGTGTCGGTGTTGTATTTAAGTGTTGGTATTGTATCTAAGTGTCGGTGTTGTATCTAAGTGTTGGTGTTATATCTAAGTGTTGATGTTGTATCTAAGTGTTGGTGCTGTATCTAAATGTTGGCGTTGCATCTAAGTGGCGGTGTTGTATCTAAGTGTTGGTGGTGTATCTAAATGTTGGTTGGTGTTGTATCTAAGTGTGGGCGTTGTATCAAACCGTTGGTGTTGTATCTAAGTGGTGGTATTGTATCTAAGGGTTGGTGTTGTATCTAAGTGGTGGTGTTGTATCTATGTGTTGGTGTTGTATCTTTGTGTTGGTGTTGTATCTAAGTGTGGGCGTTGTATCAAACCGTTGGTGTTGTATCTAAGTGGTGGTATTGTATCTAAGGGTTGGTGTTGTATCTTAGTGGTGGTATTGTATCTAAGGGTTGGTGTTGTATCTAAGATACGCCATGTTTGAGTGGACCTATAAACAACAAGGCACGGCCCTGTGGGCATCAAATCAAAGAATTCGTCTACAGTTTTCGTGTCGGGTTCCAGAACATGCTACCACTACGCTCAACATTCCAGCTACCACACTACACAGTAGCGAGGCTAAAGCGAATCCCCCTTATCACTTTTGAGATATGACAATATACGATCTTTCCTTCTTAAGAGATCGGTTGACAATCATGTAGTTTAACAAATAAAAAATATGACAGTTAAAAAATCGAGGAGAGGGGGCGTGTTTGGTACTGCGCGGATCCGTGACTGTCATAAACAGGCGTCTTATCGTGAGCCTGGGGGGAAATAAAAACTCGACAAATCCCGCGTCACATGAAACGAGTCTACCCGACGATCTAGCCAGTGCCGTGGCCTTTTAGGCTGACTACTCTTGTTTCATTGCTAAATTGAAATCGATAGCGGTGTAGATGAATAGCTTTAATGGGGTTCATTTTTTTTTCTGGAGTACTTAACACACCTTTATCGCAGGAGAGTGTTCGTCTTTATTTCACCCCAAACAACTAAGAACCGAACCGAACCGTGATTAGCCCTGACACGCTATAGTGGTATTCAACAGATCGACTTAATTTTATCTTCAAATTGTAAAACAATTTATTTTATCTATAAGGAAGTTAAAGTTGTTTTTAGGTGCTAGCGGATATTAACGAAGATATTTTTAGCACTTAAGAATGAATAAACAGAATCTTATCTGATTTATGGCGCCATCGTATCACAATGAGTTTCTCGTATTTCTCCACTGTCTTCCCGTGTACAAATTTCTACTTTTGTTTAGACACATTTACTGCGTCATTAATATTGTCGAGACGGCAAGATGCCCCCCCCATAATATTTATTAACAACGTTGTTGTGACAGCAGCATACAATACACTAACAACGGTAACGTACACTTTACCAACAGCAGCATACAGTACACTAACAACGGTAGCATAATAACGGCAGCATACACTAACAACGGTAGCATACTAACGGCAACATACACTAACAACGGTAGCACACAGTGTACTAACAGCAGCTATCATCTGCGGCCAAGACAGAAAAATGTCCGAGATTTTTTTTTAAAAAGCTAAATTTTAAAAATTGGAAACAAACATTACGTATTGAAAATTCAATCATTGGGGTCATCCATAAATGAAGTCGCGCCTTTTCGACGATGTTTACCCCTCCCCCCTCCTAATCGTCACACATCGCAACAAAAAGCCAGACCCACAGCCTTTAAAATGTCGCCACATCTCAGCCTACCACACCCTCAAAATTGCAGGGTTTATTTTGTTTTTTAAAATATCTATTGCTTTCTAAAATACTTTCTGATCTCGGTCATCATTGAGTATATTCATCAATGTAATGATAAATCTATTACAATTTACAAAAACAACGTTTTGAAAACGCAAAGTAACGGCTAAAATTCAAATCCTAACTATATTTATTATAAGGGAAAAGGTTGTGGTTACACTTTTTAAATCACCCCTTCCTCGTCACACAGCGTCACAAAACTCTCCTCCGTGTAGAGTGTGACGTCGTATATGGGCGGCAGAGGCGTAGCGAGGGGGGGGCGGGGGGGGACATATGTCCCCGGGCGCCGACCTTAGGGGGGGCGCCAAATTGAAAGTTTGAGGGGGGGTGCAAATGAAAAGTTCGAGGGGGGGGGGTGCAAATCGAAAGTTTGAGGGGGGGTGCAAATGAAAAGTTCGAGGGGGGGTGCAAATCGAAAGTTTGAGGGGGGGTGCAAATGAAAAGTTCGAGGGGGGGGGTGCAAATCGAAAGTTCGAGGGGGGGGTGCAAATCAAAAATTTGCTCCCGAGGGGGGCGCCAAATTGAAAGTATGTCCCCGGGCGCCGGGAAGGGTCGCTACGCCTCTGATGGGCGGCCCCATATTTAGCGATACAAAAAGCTCCCACCTAGACTAACAAGTTCCATGTCTTATGTCCACAGTCGAGCGTCTGAGCAGGATTATGGTGTGGAGACTTCTGAGAGAATGCTCTACTTCTCTAGACCAACCATGTACGATATTTTGTGTATTTTTGTGTCTTCCCAACATTATACATTGTTGTCACTTGCAATGTTATATTTTATTTTTCTTTCTTTACGCACGTCACCAAGAACAACCTTTTATGTCTTAAAATTGTATCATCCATAAACAACGTCACGCTTTTCAACTATTTTTATCCCCTCCCCCCCTCCCATCTCATTCATCACATGTCATAACAAAAGTCCGAAGCCACACTCAACCCTAGAAGTGTAACGTCGTTAATGGACGAGCCCTTAACATATCCAGTCAATATGCCCATAGACTATGCCTTCATAGTCGTGTCTTTATACTTCCAGTCAATGTCACTACCAACTTTACACATCTAGTTTATAGGTCCCTACTAACTTTTCACATCTAGTCTATATGTCCCTACCACCTTTTCACATCTAGTCTATATGCCCCTATCACCTTTTCACATCTAGTCTATATGCCCCTATCACCTTTTCACATCTAGTCTATATGCCCCTATCACCTTTTCACATCTAGTCTATATGTCCCTACCACCTATCTTTACACATTTATTCGATGGTTAATGTGAAGTGAAGATTGAATGTTTCCTAGTTGTTGTTATGCTTAATATCGTATATATATATATATATATATATATATATATATATATATATATATATATATATATATATATATATATATATATATATGCGCGTGTGTGTGTAGCTTAGGCTTAGATAACTGTATAGCGATAACATGTTTTGAACTAATAACTTGGTATTTCTCATCTTCCTACTTAAAAATAGGATTATTGTTAACTTTCAGTAGGTTTGCCATACTTGTAACTAAAGCTGTATCCTACCATATAGGACTGCACTTTGAACTGTTTGTACCACCACCCTTCCCATCGTTACACATTTCAAATAACTCTTTAAAACAGCGATTTCTTTTTAAAATACTAATTATTTGTTTTAGGCCTACTGTTCAATTTTAACTAGCTTACAAAACACTATTCTAAAAACGTAAAATAGCGGCAAAAATTCGGTGTCTGACAAAGTGACATTGACATGACCTTTAAAATGCAAAAAGTTTATGGTCACACTTTTTGAACACATCCCCCCTTCTTCCTTGTCATACATCATAATTAATTTACACCCTTAGGGTCTGACGTCTTATATTGGCCACCCCCCCCCCCTAAACGAGTTTAAATAATACGATCATGTTTGTTTTAAAAGCTTGTCAAAGCCAGCTCAAGTTATTTCATCAATATTTGTAAAGAAAACAACTCTAAAATATTAAAAATATAGGAATCAAGCGGAGCGAAACAAAATAAATTCATTTCTAAAAGTCAGTTCCTGTTTTTGAAGTTTACGAACTGCGTATTTACATCATGTGACAGCCGTAGCCTAAGGAACGACCTTTGCTATAAGACTTAGCACAAGCGTTGCCAAACGAGTAAAATAGTTCTAAGTTATATTAGCAGAGCTTTAATATATAAGAAAAATATCAAATGTTTATACATACCAATCATTTTTAAACAATAAGTATTTAGTGGAAATGCTAAAATTTACAATATGTAATAACATAAACGAAAATAGTAGTCCGTGACTACCGCGCACTAATTAGAATAATCTAAATTCAATATGGAGTTGTGTATTGTGGAATATTTTAGAGACAATTTTTAATAATCAGTTTGAATTCAGTCAATAAATATTTTACTAGTGTTGGTTTAACATTTAAAATCCTATTTATATTTTGATGTTCGCAGCGCTTCTGTCGCGAATCTATTACTAATGGGTCATCTTTTCTGAAATAAACATTCAAAATATTTCATTTAAGAGTAGTCTAGGCCTAGCCTAGTAAAACCAGAAAGTGAGAAAGAGAACCCGAGGCGACATGGAGACGATTCGACACCACACAGATCTATATCTAGATTCTATTCTAGATCTATAAAAAGAAAGCTAAACTGAATTATCGTATTTTTAAAAATACTATGCATCTTGCCTCCTTTTATTGGAGTGTTGGTTTTCTAGTGAGTGACATTTTTTTACAACTGTGGAATTCCAAAGCAAGCCTTTCTGGGGCTAAACATGAATGATTCAATAATCAGGTGGGATAGAAACTAGACTAGATCTAAATCTAGATAATCTAGATTTAGATCTAAGTAAAACTGCATTTTAGTCTAAATTTACATTGTAGATTTTATTGAATTGCAATTAAAAATATTAATTAATAGATTGGCCTATTAGTAGGCCCCTATTTCTTCAGTTCAGTATAATTATATTGAAAAATGTAAATACTAGCCTAATAATTTCGTAGTAAATTAAATAAATAGGCTTAGTTGGTATAAAATAATAATAAATTATTAGGCCTAGGCTTTTATAGTTATATAGATCTAGGCTTATATTTATATTAGGCCCTAATAGTATACTAGCCTATAAACTAGAATCTATGTAGTAATAGGCCTATCTATTTACTATTTCTCATTAAATAAATTATAATAGTTTAGGACTTTACTACTAGATAACTTTACACAATCTTTTCATATTTGTTTGCACATTTTTTTTCTATTTATATTATTTGCTTGCATAGAGATATTTTCTGAATTAGAAAGACTTTTATTCGAACATTTCACAGCTGTATAAATTAAAATCTATGTAGATCAAGATCAACTCGAACATATTTAAAGATTTGTTTTTTCTTTTAGGTGTTAAAAATCAAGAAATTTTTTTTTAAAATCTTTTTGATTGGTAGGAAAACGTTATTAATTCTTCCTCATCACTGAAGCTTTCAAGTTTTTTTATAATACTAAAAAAAAACTCACTGTATTAATAATAGTCAGTTGTATTGTCATGCCATTACGCAATTTTATGGCATTCTTATTTTTTATGTCATTAACTTTTTATAACATTTAGATCTATTTTGTAGGCCTGTATGGTTATTAATACTAAGACATTTTTAAAAAATCATATTCTTTATTTCAGCCCAAGAAAAGACCCGCCTGCTAACCAGAATCCAGGATCCTACTGGAACAATACTGGTACTACAGATAAAATGGATAAATACGAAAAAATAAACAAAATTGGTGAAGGATCATATGGAGTGGTTTTTAAGTGTCGTAACAGAGAGACCTCACAACTTGTGGCAATAAAAAAATTTGTTGAGTCAGAAGAGGACCCTTTAATAAAGAAAATTGCAATGAGGGAAATAAGAATGTTAAAGGTGTGTTGAAATACCTTTTCTATTATTCCTATTGTGTTAATGAACAATGTTTATATTTCTAAAGGATATTGAAGCAAAGATATGGAAGTGATTTGTTTTCAGAATTATTTAGACCAATGTTACTGATACTCATTTTATTTAGGGTGATTTATACATGTTGGTTTGTTGATTGTGTATGGTAGTTATAAGCAAGGAGATACATGCTTTACCAAGCATCTGTTGTTATTCACTCAGTTATTTCTTTAGTGTTTTCAGCTTATTTAATATCTTAACTCTACTGACACCAGTGTAACTGACCAATATGTTTGATAGGTCAAGGCTTTTAAGAATGCATTTGTGTGCCTGAAATCTAATGGCTTAGAGGGGATTGTGTGTTTGCGTGGGAGAGGGTTTTTGCATTGTGAATATCATAAAACTTTAATTTTATATTCACAAAATTATTCCAGAAAAATGTTGTTCGAACTTGTGAGATGATTAATGCCAATAATTTAGATTTTTTTCTTTTTGCTATCTACAAGTTTTTGTTCTAAAGTGTGTTCAGCTGGAGGGGGGGGGGGGGGAGGGGGAAGGCAGGTGTTATTATGAATAGCTGACAGGCTGTTTTTTAGTTGAATATCCTCCATTAGTGAAATGTTTACTGCCCTTTGTTTACCTATGTTTTTGTCTGTGCTGAATCTTATCTTTTGTTTCTTATTTTTAGTAGCCTGTAAGGATGGCAGATCCAATCAACCAGTTTACTCAGTTTAGAATTGGGTGTAGCTTGACCAATACTTGTATAATCTTCAGCTAAAAAAACTAAACCTTGTTTTCATCTGTTATTTAAAAAATATATACTTGTGTTCATTATTAGCTAAAATCTGCATCTTTTAAAATATTTCTGTTGTATTGGCCTTTCACATTTAGTAGTTTATTCATCCAATATACTGGGTAAGTGCTACACATTACCATATCCAGTCAATGTGTCAAGTATCTTTACAAATCTAATCAATGTCCCTACTACCTTTACTCATCTGAACTTTGTATTAAAAGAAAACAAATGTGTTTATTTAATTTTTAAATCATGTTGAAAATCCCATTTTAATCCCTAGTTTAAAATTTGGTAAATAACTTTGAAAGAAATATATTTAGGCAACCCTAAAACTAATCTAATCTTAATTTTAGCATATAGTGGAATAAACTTAAAGAATCAATGCAAAATTTTGAACTTACACTCATTCTTAAGTAACCATTATCTAATGTTAAAGTGATGGGAATTTAAATATTGTAATTTGAATAAGGACACCAACTCGTTAAGCTCAAGCAGTTTATTTTGGCAAGATTTATAGGCTAAGGCTGTCCACAGCAAGATATATCTAGAGTTCATTTGGGAGAAATGGAATTTAAGAATGGTGATAAGGATTAGGATTGACATTTGCAAATGCTGAAAATTATGATTGTGGAATTCACTTTTTAATGTAAAAATTGTGATAATGATAAATAGGGGGGGGGGGGGAGTAGTCTATAATGTGAAAAACAATGTGGAATGCTATATTAAATTCTGTTATTTTGGGATCATTGTTGTTTAGCAAGTATGCCTGTCTTTAGACGTTAGCCTTTTTGTGTTTGGCCTTTGCCTTTTGTTTGTCAGCTTCTGTCCATGTTGGCCAATTTTAGATGAACATAAGAATGTTGCACATGTGTAATTGAAGAATCCTACTGTTATAATGTAGGAAGTCCACGAGTCCACCTAGCTCTGATAGGTATGTGAGTTACATTAGGTAAAGTAAAAAAAGTAAAGGCGTCTGGGCATAGTGCTGTACACATTATCGCAATTATATACCATAAGAACTGAAAGGGTACTTTACTTATTGATATATGTATATACATATATATATATTAATATTTAAGTATATATATATATATATATATATATATATATATATATATATATATATATATATATATTGCACTGACCCAAATAAATATATGGTTGTTAATTAATGCAAAAAATTTAGATACAGCATTTGATGATTTGATTGTACCTAGAATATATTATTTTGGGACTAACCGGTTGTGGCAAAATAGAATTTATTTTTGTTGAATAATATAGCTTTTTTGTGTTTGATCTTATGTTAAGAATTTATTTTTATAAATATTATATATATATATATATATATATATATTATATATATATATATATATATATATATATATATATATATATATATATATATATATATATATATATATATATATATATATATATATATATATATAGGTTTGCTCTTAGTATAATGAATCTATTTCTAAAATATTTTTACCCTTATCCTTTCATTGTCTGTGTAAATTAAGGGTTTAGAACCTTACCCACAGACAGTTGTCCCCCCTACCATTAAACCCAGATGAATTACTACCATTGGTAATTACACTCCCTCCCCCTGTTTTTGAGAATACTTATTATAGATGTTATCAGTAAAGTGAGAAACCTGGCATTCTATTGAACTGGGCTGTCAGAGTGTGAAATAAATTGTATCATGTACTTTTACTAGGCATTCACTAACTTTAACCCTAGTCCCAACATTACCTTTTGGTTAGAGTTAGGTTTAATGTTAGGATTAGGCTTAGTGTCCATTTGTAATCCATAGGGGGATAATGTCTAACTGCAGTTGTTAGGGCAGGGAGTAATTTACAAGTGAATAATTTCCGTCTCTCATAAAATTTTACAAGTTAGTCATAGTCTGTACTTGTAAATTAAAATCCCAATGTTTTCTCTTGCTAAAAGATTTGAACTTCATCTTTTCTAGCAACAAAAACACCCCAAAAATTCCTTTTGAATCTTCTCTATTTTAGCAATTAAAACACCCCAAAAATGCCTTTTGAATCTTCTCTATTTTAGCAACTAAAACACCCCAAAAATGCCTTTTGAATCTTCTCTATTTTAGCAATTAAAACACCCCAAAAATTCCTTTTGAATCTTCTCTATTTTAGCAATTAAAACACCCCAAAAATTCCTTTTGAATCTTCTCTATTTTAGCAACTAAAACACCCCAAAAATTCCTTTTGAATCTTCTCTATTTTAGCAATTAAAACACCCCAAAAATTCCTTTTGAATCTTCTCTATTTTAGCAACTAAAACACCCCAAAAATTCCTTTTGAATCTTCTCTATTTTAGCAATTAAAACACCCCAAAAATTCCCTTTGAATCTTCTCTATTTTAGCAATTAAAACACCCCAAAAATTCCCTTTGAATCTTCTCTATTTTAGCAATTAAAACACCCCAATTTAGTCAACCTGATTGAAGTTTTTAGGCGGAGGAAACGACTTCACCTGGTCTTTGAGTATGTTGACCACACAGTTCTCAATGAGCTGGACAGATACCCCAGGGGGTAAGAAAATGGTGTCTTTGTCTGTCAGGGGGTAAGAAAATGGTGTCCTTGTGTGTCTGTCAGGGGGTAAGAAAATGGTGTCCTTGTGTGTCTGTCAGGGGGTAAGAAAATGGTGTCTTTGTGTGTCTGTCAGGGGGTAAGAAAATGGTGTCCTTGTGTGTCTGTCAGGGGGTAAGAAAATGGTGTCCTTGTGTGTCTGTCAGGGGGTAAGAACATGGTGTCCTTGTGTGTCTGTCAGGGGGTAAGAAAATGGTGTCCTTGTGTGTCTGTCAGGGGGTAAGAAAATGGTGTCCTTGTGTGTCTGTCATTTCAGTGACTTTCTCTTTTGACTTTGATATAGATCTAGATATTTATAGTTAGACACAATTGTCACATTTATAGAGAGTTTAGTCATATGTATTCCCGTATAACTTGTAATAATATATTCAATAATTATTTTAATTCAGGGTTCCAGAGAAAATGGTGCAGAGGATTATCTACCAAACATTGCTAGCTGTTAATTTCTGTCATCAACACAATGTAAGTTTTATTTTCATACAAATGTTCATTTTAAGGGGATATGCTATGTTTTTTTCTATTTTTTACAGTTTACGATCTAAAGCCTTTTGAATACTTTTATTATATTTGGCATATAAAAGTAAGTTTTAAACAGCAAAAAAAAGGTCGAAAACAATTTTGGTTGTCATGGAAACCCAAAAAACCTCCACCATTTTGAATTTTTCGGTACTTTTAAAAATACTAAGGCTTTTTTATTTATGCACCTATAGCAATCAAATTTAAACTGCTTATATTTCAGTATATATTAAAACTTTTGTCACGACAACTTTTTGAAATAATTACTAGTAAGAATTTTACAAGGTCTAAAAAATCGTACCCTTTTTAGTATTCAAAAGTTTCAAAATGTGCATATTAATTACCAAATACTTTTTTTCTATGAAAGCAATCACAATTCCCTCGTGACAAAAGTTGTATTTTTGCATGAAGAACAACTTCTGAAAATGTGATTGGCATTGTTTAATAAATAAAAAAGTAGTAGGCTTTTTAGTGTTAAAAACATGCGAACTGAGAAAAACAGCCAAAAGTAACGAAAACTAGGTCAGGAAAGTACCATATCTGTGTAAACTGCAAAGCCGATTGTAAGCTTTGGGTGTTTCCGGGATGTAGGAAATTAAGTTAATTAGATACATGAGAAATCCAGCTTTCCAATGATGTCAAATACAATATAATGACGGATATAAAACTTTTCATAGAGAGCTTGTAAGATTGGGAAAAATTGATTATTTTTTAATTAATAGGGTCATAAAAATCGTAATTCAAACACATAAAATATTTTTTTTCTCTTTAAAGTTATTATTTTCTTAATACAAAAATGGACAAAGTATCCAAAAGTGCAAGAAACCCATCATGACGAAAAACAAGAAATTTTGTGATTTTTTTCCGCGCATATCCCCTTAACTGCTCTCCTTTCATTATGTTAAAATAAGTCATTATGTTAGAATAAGTTCATTAAGTTAGAATAAGTTCATTATGTTAGAATAAGTTCATGACCTGGATGTAAAAGGTTATGTTGTCTTTTCTCAGACAATACACAGGGATGTCAAGCCTGAAAATATATTGATCACCCGACAAGGGCAAGTTAAGTTGTGTGATTTTGGATTTGCTCGGGTGCTTAGTAAGTTGGTTTTTTTTGTTGTTGTTAAGTAATTGTTTCATCTTATTATATTTTGTGTTTCCATCTAGAATTATATTAAATTAGCTGTGTATATAAAGCATACAGGGAAGAGATGACTGGACAATACATATTATGCTGTTTAGCCATATAGAAAACATTATGTCTAAGTATTGCATATTTTACCAATGTTATTAAATTGCACACAGTTTAGTTATACTGAATAAAATTTAGTGCTATCAGCTTCATTTTTAAAATTTCACATTTTAACACGTTTTTATTAACTCAGCTTCGCGTGGATGTGTTTGTTGTTAAAATTGACATCGAAAATTAGCCTACTTCTGATTGCTCTATAGATCTGAAATTTGGCATGCAGGTTACTTTCGCCTAACAATTTCAGATGCAATCATAAAAACTAGCAATTAGAGACCGTAATTAGCTTAATTTAATTACGCCCTAAGGACCATAAAATTGAGGACATGATTTCTAAAGATACCGACAAGACTGGAGGCCTATTGACACAGTTACTTCGGCCCCGATCGATGTGAGCGCGCTGGCCGTGATCGTATAGTGGTTAGTACTTCGCGTTGTGGCCGCGACAACCCAGGTTCGAATCCTGGTCGCTCAAGATTTTTAGTCCGTGTATTTATAAACACTTAGTCAAGTCATACTTAATCAAGTCATTAGATAAAGTAGAAAATAAACTATATAAAAAACTTTTTTAAAAACCACGTTTTTCATTTGTAGCAACGGACTAAAAAGGAGAAAATAAAATACTTAAAAAAAACTTTTTAAAAAACCACGTTTTTCTTGTGGACTAAAAAGTAGAAAATAACTATTTACATACATTTGATGACAAAAAACGTGGGTCGGGCAGATGGGTCGGGAAATTTGATGGTGAACGTACCCACGTTTTTTGTCATCAAATGTATGTAAATAGTTATTTTCTACTTTTTAGTCCACAAGAAAAACGTGGTTTTTTAAAAAGTTTTTTTAAAGTATTTTATTATAATTGTGTAAAACATTTCAATGATATTTCAAAGCTTATGCTTTAGTAGATCCATGCAGTTGGCTATAATGTAGAGATTGTTTTATTTTATTATACTTGTTTTTTTTTTAGTAGAATTATATTCTTTCAATTACCAGAAATAAGAAACTTGAGTACTTTGGGATAAGAACCAGAGTATTACATACATAGAAGGATTTAGGCAGAAGAACTGTGTGGCTTACTGTCCCTGTATTGTCCTATAAGTTGCCATCTCAATCTTTTGACAAGAGACAATTATTGGCTTATATAGTGGAGTGCAGTGTAGCACGGAGTAAATAACAAAAATATAGTGGAGTACAATGTAGCACAGTTAATAACAAAAATATGGTGGAGTACAATGTAGCACAGTAAATAACAAAAATATAGTGGAGTGCAGTGTAGCACGGAGTAAATAACAAAAATATAGTGGAGTACAATGTAGCACGGTAAATAACAAAAATATGGTGGAGTACAATGTAGCTCAGAGTAAAAACACAAATATTGAAGCAAAAACAAGAAAAAATATTTAGCCTAGCTTTAACTATAGAAACTTTTTTCTCTTGTGTAGTTTGATGGAAAGCCTTTCACTCAATGAGTTCATTGAAGAGGTAACCACAGCAGTTAGCTAATGTTATTCTAAAGTCATGATGGACTTTTATTAACTTGTGTTTTTCTTAAGCCAGTGAATTGGCACCTTAAAACAGACTTGCAGAAGCTTCTCAAAGTGAAATTTGCAGTGCCAGCCAACATCTTAGAAATGCAAATGACTTGAATTGTTAGCTCTGGGAGCTCAGCTCTGTCCCGGCCTGGTCTTGTTAATCAATTCTTCAGACATGAATAGGGCAGGTTCAGCTCTATTGAATTCCTTTCTTCCTCCTGTGAATACTTCTGCGCGGGTTCCTGTCATTCATTGACAAAGTGCCCGCTTCACTTTAGTTAGGTGTTTGAACATAATTTCCTTGCTATTTCTATTCTGTCTTGGTTCATGTTCTCAACAGTTTATTTCAATTCTATCTCCCTGATATGGATTGATCTGGCATTTCTGTCTGTAATACAGGCAGCTAAAAATGTATAGCATTGTATTGACATTTCTCAAAGTGTTTTGAAATGTTTGGCAACCACTGTTTAGCAGCTAAAGGATTTTTCTTTCTTTAATGCACAGCAAAGGCAACACCATTTACTTTTGTAGAATTTGGCTTTTACTTTATACAGTCAAGATAGAGTTCAAAATTTACTTTAAATTTCCTAATGACTAATGTTAGCCTGCAATTATTCATTGTTTTCTTTGGCTCAGTGCCTGCTTAAGGCCTTGTTATAAGTTATTCATGCGTGACTGCCTCAGTCTCATATTACCTATCATGAATTCCTCTCAACTGATTTTATCAGAACAGCAAGAAAGTAAATTTGTATGGAAACATGAAAGGGTTATTTGATACTTTAGCTCAGATTTTCTTGGGAGATTTTTCTCCACTCGATTGTTGCAAAAGTGTGTTACTGCTGCAAGTTTGATTTTTTTGTATTAGTCATCAAACCAGATCAAACATTATCCAACAAAAATATTAACATGTGAAGATAGTGGCACCCAAACTTGTTTATTTAAACAGCAGCTAATACTTGAGCAGTTTTGTGTTTTGAAAACAAAGAATGCTAAAAATGTTGTACTGGGCAGACTCATGTTCATGACACATATTTTTAACAAATAGGCTTGCAACAATATAAAAGGTTCCTCAACATTTATAGCACTGTTTTTAATATGTATTTTTAAAAACTGAATCAGTAAACTTTTTATTTTAAATCTCAACTTTGAAATTAAAATATTCTCTTTTGGGTTTTGATTGCTTTTGTATGTGTAAAGTTTTCATGGCTATTTTTACGAAAGACAATTAATATTTTCATATTCACTGTTATGTTTTCAGCTTGAGGAATTATTGCTTTCCTATGATGTTCTATTCTCCTTGATAACTTCCCCTTTAAATTCTCTTTGATAACCTCCCTTTTCAGCTGGCCCGGGCGGTGAATACACAGACTATGTGGCCACTAGATGGTACCGTTCTCCTGAGCTTCTAGTTGGGGACACACAGTACGGCCCTCCAGTGGATGTCTGGGCCATTGGCTGCGTCTTTGCTGAGCTTCTCACTGGCCAGGCCATATGGCCCGGTCGATCAGATGTTGATCAACTCTACCTCATTCGTAAAACTTTAGGTAGTTTGTCAAGTTTTAACATTGTTTTCTGTTTATTTTGATTTGGGGAAATATTCAACATATCAATAATTCATGAGCAATAGATTTTGTCTGCTGTTGTATTCACACATTTAAAGATCTCTGCAATAGTTTCAGATGGGTCTTGTTCTTGTTATACTGTTACATTGTAATCATCTTTGCAATGGTTAATTAACTTTGTAATGGTTAATTAACTTTGTAATGGTTAATTAACAACCAAGGGGCAGGGTGGCAGGGTCAGTAAAGCTCTTGGCTACTAAACCAAAATGTCCCAAGTTCAAACCCCTGGCTAGATGAGGCTCGATATCTGGGATCGCAACTCATATAGGAGAGATAACTCCAAAATCAAACAACTCCCACCTTATAGTTTGTTCTTGATGGACAAAGACTATTGAAGGAAGTCCATGGACAAAGACTATTGAAGGAAATCCAAAAAGAAAAGCAGGCTTAAATCAGAGTCCTCTGCCTATATGGCGCATAACCAGTTGACATGTAGTATTTAATTGCATGGTAGGAAATCTGGTCCAACATTACATTTAAGAATGAAGAAGCAGAAAAGAATGTACAATCTATTAGGAGTAGAAAAAGTGTGTGCCATTGTAATTTGAATGGAATATTTTAAAGTAACCTTTTTGTATTACTGAAGAGTAAATATTTTTTCTTGAAACAGGTGATCTGATACCCAGACATTTAGAAATATTTTCTAACAACACATTTTTCAAGGGGATGACTATTCCTGAACCTGATAGACTGGTAAAGTTTGAACTTTTGATTTGTGTTTGGATGGACTAATCAATTATAAATCAGTTTATACAGTTTGAGAATAGATGTAGAAAGTATACAAAACATTTCAACTTGTTTGATGCTAACAAGAAATGGCTAGGTTTCAACTAGAAAGATTTAATTCATTTATTCATCCAAAACTTTCTTTTCAAAAATCCAACAGGAACCTTTGGAAGAAAGGTACCCTCAGATGAGTCAAAATGCAATGAGTTTTTTACAGGTAATTGTTATATAATTATATAAGTCCATGCTCCATAAACATATGTAGGTCATACAGTGGTGTGTAAAGTAGAAGTAAAACCACTCACCAACATTTTTATATACTGGTGTAAAACCACTCACCAACATTTTTATATAGTGGTGTAAAACCACTCACCAACATTTTTATATAGTGGTGTAAAACCACTCACCAACATTTTTATATAGTGGTGTAAAACCACTCACCAACATTTTTATATAGTGGTGTAAAACCTCTCACCAACATTTTTCGTCACATTTCAAGTAGATGTGAAGTTGCTCAATAACATCACTTAGTTGTTGCTTTTGTATTGATTGCATTTGCCCAAGCATAATTTTTAACAGTTTTATTATGGATATTGATAGTTTTTTTGCTAATAAAGTTTAAAAAGAAAATCTAAAAATATTTTAGGCAAAAACTTGACACAATGACTTGAAATCAATCAATAATTTTTGTTGACAAATTTTAAAATTGCATTCGTTATTATAAAAACAAGCCTTGCATCAAACTATTTATAAAAGATTGGCCTACATATTACAAGCTGTACTTACAATTCTATTTTATTTATATGTGCTAATATTGTAATGATAATTGTAGTTTGAGCATTTAAAATTGGGAATACTAGGCGCAAAGCCTGTCAGATGACAGAAATAAAAAGGGTGAAAAATTCTTTTAATTAGATTTTTCAGTTGTCTGGGTCAGTTCTCAGGGATAAAATGAAATGGCAACTAGATGAAATTACATATGAACTTAGCCAATTCTGTGTTAAGATAATTGTAGCTTGAGCACATGTGCTGATACTATGCCATGCTTATAACTAACAGAACTGTGTTAAGATAATTGTAGCATTAGCACATGTGCTGATACTATGCCATGCTTGTAGCTAACAGAACTGTGTTAAGATAATTGTAGCTTGAGCACATGTGCTGATACTATGCCATGCTTATAACTAACAGAACTGTGTTAAGATAATTGTAGCATTAGCACATGTGCTGATACTATGCCATGCTTGTAGCTAACAGAACTGTGTTAAGATAATTGTAGCTTGAGCACATGTGCTGATACTATGCCATGCTTATAACTAACAGAACTGTGTTAAGATAATTGTAGCATTAGCACATGTGCTGATACTATGCCATGCTTATAACTAACAGAACTGTGTTAAGATAATTGTAGCATTAGCACATGTGCTGATACTATGCCCTGCTTATAACTAACAGAACTGTGTTAAGATAATTGTAGCATTAGCACATGTGCTGATACTATGCCATGCTTGTAACTAACAGAACTGTGTTAAGATAATTGTAGCTTGAGCACATGTGCTGATACTATGCCATGCTTGTAACTAACAGAACTGTGTTAAGATAATTGTAGCTTGAGCACATGTGCTGATACTATGCCATGCTTGTAACTAACAGAACTGTGTTAAGATAATTGTAGCATTAGCACATGTGCTGATACTATGCCATGCTTGTAACTAACAGAACTGTGTTAAGATAATTGTAGCTTGAGCACATGTGCTGATACTATGCCATGCTTGTAACTAACAGAACTGTGTTAAGATAATTGTAGCTTGAGCACATGTGCTGATACTATGCCATGCTTGTAACTAACAGAACTGTGTTAAGATAATTGTAGCTTGAGCACATGTGCTGATACTATGCCATGTTTAAAACTAACAGAACTGTGTGCGCATGGATCCCAATGAGCGCTGGAGCTGTAGCCAGTTGATCCAGCACAACTACATGGATGTCAACAGGGAGTCTGGGCTGGAGTTTGCCAAGAGTAAACCAGAGGCTGGCATGAGGAGAAGTCAGAACAAATCTCGCACCAGCAACTACCCAGCTGTAAGTCTCTAGCCACTCTATTTTTGCTTGTTTGCTTTTGGATAGTAAAATTTTGGCCCTTATTGCTCTATTGAGTTGAGTGTTGGGTAATGCTGTTGAGTAAAGTAAGCCAGGATAGAAATAAAAGCAGTGAATACAAATATATTTTGGCTTACCAAAAATGAGCTGGTAATTGCAAATATAATAGTATAATGAGCAAGTAATTTCTAAAAAATATTTTAGCCTAAAACTGTGAGATGCTTTTTTTTGACCACTTGTAGATGAACCTTGTAGACTGACAATCTCAATGCTATGATGTTTCTTTTTTTTCCAGCCATTTCAGCCCCTCCCATCCCTGGCCCCTCCCGCTTTCCCCTCAACATCACCAGTCCCCCCTTTCAAGAACCCAGTAGCCCCCAACTACAGGAACAAGCCACCCCGGTTTGACCACCTCCCCAACATCTGACTCTTCGGCCAAGGGGTTCAACGTTATGATGGAAGCTAAGCTGAACTTTCTCATGGTGTCTCACAAATCATGGTGTCACACACATCATGGTGTCTCACACATCATAACATTCCCTGGAGGCCAATTTTCATTCATCTTTTTAAATGTCTGCTTCTTTTTTGTGTGGGTCCCGCTTCTAACACAGACCTAACACATGCATTGAACTGCTTGTCTGTACTCATCTGTGAAAATGATTTGATTTTCTTGTAGAAAAGCTTTTAACATTTCTTTAATTTGCTGTAACTTTTGTTTCCTTAGTTCTTTTAGCCTTATTATACTTGTCAACAAAAGAATTATTGCTTATGAAATTCTTAATGACTGTAAGATACATCACTAATAATTGTACTTGTATGTTCAATCAGAGTTATCTTTTACTCATGAAACAATCATTCAACCAGCAGCTAGTTTGTCTGTAGCTGCGTGTCCGTGTGTTGAGGAATGTCAAAGAAATGCTCAGGTTTTATGTGCTATTAATAGCTCCCACCATCTGTCTCACATAGGAACTTTATTTCCTATCCATGTTTTATTTTCTACCTTGATGTGCTTGTAGAGCAAGTGTTTTATTACCCAGATATTTCCTATCCAGTTTTTGCCAAGGTTTCTTTTCTTTTATCTAGTTGCTCTATTAGTATCAAACTTTTACTAGGGTGAATGTATACAAATTTTAAAAATTTGTTTCATTATTGTGAATTTAAGCTTTAAAGCCCTATTTTGAAATGCCAAAAATGAGCTGTTTTGAAGGAGAAGAAGATATCCTTTCTATCACCGGAGAACATTAGACAATCTAGTATCAAGACGGCCATGTGTTGCCGTTTAGATTAACAAGCAATACAAACTTACCAAAGACAAATTTTATTCTTACTATAAATAAGGCTTTAAATAGTTACACAATCATGGTAGATGCGTCATATATTCTTTGTTGTTTTTAAAAGGGCATGTAAATTTTGGATTCTGCATTTCTAAAATGTCAGATACACCTGTGTAAGATAGCTTGTGTTTTTAAAAATTTAATGTCTTGACAAATTTGATGTAAAAATTTGACTTTAAATTAATGTAGATTTCAAATGCTATCCAGGAAAAACTTATATCTGTGAAATTTGTGTTTTTCATAAAAAGTGTCTTGATTAAAAACTAGACTTTACCTGTACAACATAGCTTTCTTATCATATTTGAATACTGAAAATTAAAGATTCTAAAGTAATTTTTTAATCAATCAAGTAAGGACAGGCTAAACTCCACTGTTGCTGGTTCTCTTTCTAATGTTGTAACATGTAAATATCACTTACACTGAGGGTGGTTACACTGTTGTAAGAAATGGAGCCTGGTAAAATGAATGATTGCAACAAGTGTTTCATTCATTAAAGCATTTATTTGTTTTTTGCCTAATGAGCCATTTTTGGTAATTAATTCAGGTAATAATTTTTTTAATGTGTTGTCACCTAATGTCTCATTTGATTGTAATGGCATTTTAGCTTTTAATAGCGTACATTTGGATTGTAGGTTGAGAACAGAAAAGGCTTTAAAAACTGGGTAATCTCTAACCCAGGAGGTTACAGACATCAACAGATATTTTCACAGAGAGCCTTGTTCACAGAAATGTGGCAGTGCTCTGTCCTGTTCCATCTGAGCTTTGGTTAAAATATGAGTTGGTGTCTCTGCTTTAGAGCGAGATTAAGTTTGTAGTTGGCTTCATTTTTTTTATTTTGTTCAACACTGAAAAATGTGGGTAAACAGTCAACAAATTTTAGGGGTAGGTCCTAGAACCAGAACTTTGATGTTCATTTGAGTGAAAAATAAATTTTATTTTAAACAACTTGGTACAATTTTCACAGCATTGTACCATTTTAATATTAAAGTTTATTTGGCTAACCATTTTAATATTAAAGTTTATTTGGCTTACCATTTTAATATTATTGTTTATTTGGCTTATCATTTTAATATTAATGTTTGTTTGGCTTCTTTATGTACTTTCCAGGCAGAACGTTAGGCTTTTATAAAACTTTAATTTTGAAAACTTTATTTTAAAAATCATTTTTAAACCCAGTCAAAACAATTTGTTTTTTGTTTAATTAGCTATTTTAATTAGGGATTGGGTAACTAACCAACTTTTTTTGCTTACTAAATGAACGGGTAAATATAATTCCATTTATTGTTTGAAAAGACAACTTCACTTACAAAACTTGTATGAACTGTTTACCATCTTGCTGTGATTGTTTCATGTCAAGATTCAATCCAATTTTTTAATTTCTTTTAAGTGTGTTGATTTGCACTAACAGCTTTGGCAGAGACCTACCATCAGTCATTTTATGTTATTTCCTCATCACTTCCATACTTTAGCACAGTTTCTTCCCCTTCTTCAGGTTTAAATGCTTTTTCTAGATGTGTTTTGTTTTAGTGGCTTCAATTAAAAGATGCAGCATTTTTAATCTACTCATTAAGCAAAGTTGAACCCCATAACACCTGCAGCAAAGCCAAAGTGAAATTTATTTTTATTATGGGGAAATACGATGAAACAAATTACTACCTCCAGTGGCAAATAAAAAGAAATCATTTTATCTTAGTGGTTTCAATAATAAAACATAGCTTTGTGTGTATTTTTCAGCTCACAGTAATGCCTGATTAGTTTATAGGGTTTGAACTTTGCATCATGAAAATTGGCCTCCATGTCCTCAGAAAGTCATTCATTTGTAAATAATTTTAAAAGCTGTAGTTTCAATAGACTTGACCCAGCCTTTTCTAGAAGTTAGCTTAAAAAACTTAGATGTCATCTGCAGATTGTGTAGATATTTGATTGATGTTTCAAGCCACATCTTCACTTTCTTTACCTGTCCGATACAATAAAATTAATTGTATATTGACTGTAGTTTTCAAAGTGTTTTAAAAACTTTTTCCATTTTCGTAATTCTAAACACATGCATCTATCAATTTGCGACTTAATTAATTTAAAAACCTGTTGATATTCCCACATGTAATTCCCAAACATATCTCATTAAAAAATTAATCAACTTTCATAGCCAATGGTTTAGCTTTAAACTAATTAAGTCAGACAAGGTTTTGGACAAGGCTGTTGGTGCACATCTTCATATCTTAATTGTACTCTGGTTTTCTCAACTCAAATTCATCGGACAATTTTCTAAAATATTTTTTCCAACTTTTTGTATTCATTCAATCATAACCTTTGAACCTTTCTGTTGTAGAGTTTTGTACTAGTCAGCACACTTTATACCATTATTTTATCTCCAACCATTCATACCTGTTTATATATTATCTCACATATTCTTACACTATTGAGCTTTAGAGGCAACAAATTTCCTCTTGATAAGCCCAGTTAGTTTCATTGTCTGTATTACTGTAAATAAAATTCAGATTGAAAAAAAAATGTTCTAAAAACCAAACAAAAACTTTAAAATTGTTTGTGTATATCTTTATCAAATTAGTTATGTGTTTGTGCATATCTTTGTCAAATTAGTGATGTGTTTGTGCATCTGTTATTGGAATCCCTCCATCTTGGTTTTTTAAACAGTGCATATTCCTCGGTCAGCGATTTCAGTTTTTATTGAATTTTATCACTTTCATTTATCCAAATGTAAATCAGTTTATATTTAGTTTTATGACTGTCATTTATCCAAATGTAAATCAGTTTATATTTAGTTTAATGACCGTCATTTATCCAAATGTAACTCAGTTTACATTTAGTTTTATATTTCTAATGAGTTTTATGGCTGTTGATTGTATTGAGTTCTACTACTGTCATTAATATTGAGTTGAACGACCTTTATATTCAGCTGTAAGCCTGTCAGTTCTGTCAAGTTTTGTTTACTTGTAATAGTTGAAGCTGTAAGTTTTGTTTACTTGTAATAGTTGAAGCTGTAAGTTTTGTTTACTTGTAAAAGTTGAAGCTGTAAGTTTTGTTTACTTGTAATAGTTGAAGCTGTAAGTTTTGTTTACTTGTAAAAGTTGAAGCCTTGCTACAGCAGCTCAGGAAAAAATGTTTGTGTAAATGGAATCAAGTCAGACTGTACAAGTTTAGAAATATACCTTTATGCATACTGTTCTTTTTCAACTGACAAATGATACATATCATGTGTAGTATACAATGTATAAACCCATGTGATATTTTCTGTCAAGCGCTAATTTTTTTCCCGTCCGCTAATTATTTTCCCGTCCAATTTTCAAAAGAAAAGTGATATGTATGGTTTTCTAATGTAATTGCATTTTAATTACTATTGTACTTCTGTTTGCTACATGTTATTTCAAGCCAGCTGTCTGTAGTTTTTTATATCAGTAAATTTGAAATATGGTTTCAGTTTGAATTAACTTGACATTTTGAATGACAACCATGGATGACATGAGCAGACAGGAATATCTTCTTTAACTTATGAAGAAAAAATTTTAAGCATTTTCTTCATATTTTAAATTTAAAATAATTTTAATGTCTTTTTTGTTGCTAAATTTTTGACTCTCAACCCTATCAAAGAATACTAAACTGTGAATATCTGGATAAATGGCTGAACTTCATACAGGAGCTGTTATAAATGTGATTTCTGCTAACTTTATTTTATTGCAGGTTCAATTAATGTATTTAATGTGAATTTGTTTTAATTCATTATGAATGATATTTTGTCTCAATTCACGTCTCCTGGAGTTTTTTTATTTTACCCTCAAAATTAAAAAAAAAAGTGTTTTTATATTTATTTGATTTAACATTCATATTATTTATATATATTCATAAGCATATATTTGATTATGTGAAGTCAAATAAACCATGACAAAATAATATATTTTTCCTTTTACACAATTTTATGTTCAAAGGTGTAAAAATAATAGGGTACATATTATAAAAATATATTAATTTTGCCAAACAACCTTTTTAAACAAAATCAAAACAAATCTTTAAACATAAACTTTGTATTTAATTTTGAAACTATTTTTTAAATTGTGCAACACAAACAGCTAGTAAATACAAAATTATTACTGATCCGATATTTCTAAACTTCAAAATTTTGTAATGCTTAAAAAGCATAAATTCTACCCTAACAATGAGACTACTGTAATATTTTTTTGTTAACACCATTTGTTTCGTCATCCATTCCTTGATTTAACATGCTCTACCACTGACTCATCATAAGTGCAAACATTTTCCCCCTTGCATAACATGACATTTTTATTTGACAAAGAATTTATTGTTAATAAAATTATATATTAGTTGTTTTTATTTTTTAATCAAAGTGTAATTAGTAAATAAATGTTGAAATAATTTGCAGCTGTTTTTTAATGTTTCTTTTTGGGTCTGTGATGAACTGTTACCAAGAAAACTGTGTTGATTATGTGAACTATTGTAAACTTGAGGTCAGAAAATGTAACAAAAAGTCAAACTGAAGTCATCAGTTTTCATTAGTTAACATTTCTGGTCCAAACCTTGATCAACAGCTTAAAGTGGATGTAACACAAGATCTTAGGGCAGCCTGTGTGACATTGCTGTGAACATTTGGATTTTTAAATCTGATGACATTGCTGTAAACATTTGGATTTTTTAATCTGATGACTATAGTATAGCATGGCAACCACAAGAACAATTGTAACAGTTAAATATCAAATGAATAAAAAAATACTTTTTGGCAATTTGGAACATTCTTATAGTTTTTATTTCTATAAAATATCAAATTTTGCACTTCTGCACTTTTAAGCATTTAATGAGTTAAGTAATTAACAAGGAATAGTTAAGTGACTCCAGCCTACTCCTTTCACCAAAGACCACACACTCTCCCCCCCCCCCCCCCCCATTACTGCTTGAAAACAGTTTTTGAGTCTACTTCATTTCAATTGTTATCAATTGTATAAGTTATCAGATACATACACTAAACAATATTGGTATACAGAAAATACACATTGTAAAAAATACGAAACATTTTAAAGAAAAGTTTTATATAATCATGCACTAAGAGGAAAATAAAAGATATTCTTTAAATATATAATAATACGCAACAATAAATATAACTAAAATAGGTATGCGTTGTCGCTATAGTATTATTAAGCCTAAAGTTTAATAAGGGACTCTCATTTTCTTTTTAAATATTTAAATTATGGTACATTATTATATATTTAAAGGAAATAATTTATTTTCAAGAAATTAATTTATTTTCTTCTTTTTAATGCATAATTATGTAAAAGCTTGTGATTAAAAACATTTTTTTTATTAATTTTGTTAATGCTTTTAAAATTTTAAAAGAATAGAATCTCATAGCAAAAGAATAGCATGTTAAACAGCATGGAAAATTAATACTTTATATAGCAATCTATAATTTAATTTAAAAATTAGACACCTAATTATGTCACATTGCATTGTAATTGGGCCTAGATCTGTGCGTCAAGTTTGAAAGAAATTGGTTTTGAAGTGGTGGAAATTTTTAGAAGTGGTGGGAATTTTTAGAAGTGGTGGAAATTTTTAGAAGTGGTGGAAATTTTTAAAAGTGGTGGTAATTTTTAGAAGTGGTGGAAATTTACCTCACCAGTTTCAGCCATGATGACAGGCAAAAGCACAACTAACAAAAACACCACTGATGAATCATGTTAATTAAAAGGTTATGATAAAATGAATTATAATTGATGTATGCATGCTATAGGTAGGCCTGTATTTTAATTAAAAATCATTATTTTAAACAATGAACAACATATTATACATATTAGTTAAAACTATATTTAAGTTTTATTGATTATATCAGAAATATTTGTGTCTGTTGATAAGTCATGAGAGATATGATTTATTGTATAATTTATTAAGAATGGTTATGTGGCTTTTTTACGGTCAAAGGGAAACAAACATGAAATTGTTTTACTTCAAAGTACAGCCGATGTTATTCTGCTTAAATATTTATAATGATATTAATTTTAACGATTCGTAATAATTCATATTAATAAAAATGTATGTTATATTTACTAATATTAATTTTAACATTTTTTCGAAATATAAAAAAAAATTAAAATATTTTTTTGTTCAACATAAAGCCGAATTTTAATAAATCTTGTTGCGTTTCCTTTCTTCTTCTTCTTCTTCTTCTTCGTTCTATTAGTGTTGAAGGGGGTCGAGATTTATCTGCCAGTGAGTTTGAACTCGAGACTTTGTTCGAATTTATCAACCATGATCTTTTTGCCGACTCGACCACGCCTCCAACACAATTAAGCGTTACGTGTCAACTGGTTATGCGCCATTGAGGCCATTGACTCCGATTTCAGCCTGCTTTTCTTTTTGGATTTGCTTCCATAGCCTTTGTCCAACCATGAACAAACTACAAGGCAGCAGTTGTTTGATTTTGGAGTTGTCTCTCCTAGAAGAGTGGCTGTCCCCAGCTAACGGGCCTCATCTGCCCGAGGGTTCGAACTCGAGACTTTTCGGTTTAGCAACCATGAGCTATACCGACTCGACCACGCAGACCCCGGCGTTTCCTTTAAAAAAGGACTATATTTGCAAGGCTATTAAGAAAATTAATAGATTGTCAATTTTTTAGCTCGTGTTTGATGTCTAAAATTTAACGTGGTCTTTTTCCCCATTCAAACTAACGCAAAATATTTAAGCAGGATAACCTCGGCTAAACTAGGAGGTGAAATAATTTAATGTTTGTGTCCCCTTGAATGAAAAAAAAACTTTTTTTTTTACGGTCAAAGGGAAACAAACATGAAATTGTTTTACTTCATAGTACAGCCGAGGTTGTCCTGCTTAAATATTTATAATGATATTAATTTTATTTATGATTCGTAATAATGCATATTAATAAAAATGTATTAACTATATTTACTAATATTAATTTTAACATTTTTTCGAAATAAGAAAAACAAATTAAAATATTTTTTGTTCAACATAAAGCCGAATTTTAATGAATCTTGTTGTGTTTCCTTTAAAAAATTACTATATTTGCAAGGCTATTAAGAAAATTAATAGATTGTCAATTTTTAGATCGTGTTTGATGTCTAAAATTTAACGTTGTCTTTTTCCCCATCCAAACTAACGCAAAATATTTAAGCAGGATAACCTCGGTTAAAATACGAGGTGAAATAATTTAATGCTTGTGTCCCTTTGACCGAAAAAAACTTGTTTTTTTTTTACGGTCAAAGGGAAACAAACACGAAATTGTTTTACTTCATAGTACAGCCGAGGTTGTCCTGCTTAAATATTTATAATGATATTAATGTTAATGATTCGTAATAATTCATATTAATAAAAATGTATTAATTATATTTACTAAAATTAATTTTAACATTTTTTCGAAATAATAAAAATAAATTAAAATATTTTTTGTTTAACATAAAGCCGAATTTTGATGAATCTTGTTGTGTTTCCTTTAAGAATTTCTATATTTGCGAGGCTATTATTGTCAATTTTTTTAGCTCATGTTAAATGTCTAAAATTCAACTTTGTCTTTTTTCCCCCATCCAAACTAACGCAAAATATTTAAGCAGAATAACCTCGGCTAAACTACGAGGTAAAATAATTTAATGTTTGTGTCCCTTTGACCGAAAAAAACTTGAAATTGTTTTACTTCATAGTACAGCCGAGGTTATCCTGCTTAAATATTTATAATGATATTAATGTTAATGATTCGTAATAATTCATATTAATAAAAATGTATGTTATATATTAATTTTAACATTTTTTTCGAAATATAAAAAAATTAAAATATTTTTTGTTTAACATAAAGCCGAATTTTAATGAATCTTCTTGTGTTTCCTTTAAAAAAAATTATATTTCCGAGGCTATTAAGAAAATTAATAGATTGTCGTCAGTTTTTTAGCTCTTGTTAGGTCTGACATTCAACGTTGTCTTTTTTCCCCATCCAAACTAACGCAAAATATTTAAGCAGAATAACCTCGGCTAAACTATGTTTGTGTCCCGTTGTTAAAAAATTTATAACACGATTCCAAAATAAGCGATAAAACAATAAATCAGTATTTTTCAAAGACCTTAGTTTTCATTACTAATGTTATGGTTTTACATAAAATAATAGCTGCGGCTGCAAAACCAGAATTTTTATGTCAAAACTGTCAACAACATCAACAACAAAAATATTGTTTTATTCCTAGTAAATTAATGTGTATTTTTGAAGTTTTTTTTAAAAAATCAGACTAGGTTTGAATGAAATATTCTAGGTCTAGAAATATCTTTACAAAACAAAAACCTACTAAAATATTAATTTAACTATTTTTGTTTCAAATTAAAACTGAATTTAGATTAGTCTTCTCCTCTGTAAGTAGTTTTGCAAAACTGTTGAGAGAAATATAAAATCAAAACTTAATTGTGTGATGTTATTTAAAAAAGGCCTAAAAAATAATCAAGCGAGATAACCTCGACTACACTACGAAGTGAAACAATTTTCATGTTTGTTTCCCTTTGACCAAAAAAAAATTTTCCTTAAAAAGAAAATTTAAAATAGTGGATTAAACTTAACTAAATTTGAAAGTGCAGTTAATGATCTTAAAAATGTTTGGCTTTTTCTTTCCTCACCCTCAAATATTTTTTAAAAACTTTGTGTCGACATGCTTTCCGGACCCCAACCCCTCCCCACACTGTAGGAATGTGATGTCGTTTCCAGTTCCAGTTAGCCAATGCTTGCAAACAGTTTCTCCCCAATGTTTGAAAACGAGGAGCAAAATTAGCACCTGTATTCCACCAAAGAAATCTTCTATTCTTTTTCAGCTTATTCGAAATTTAGACACTTGCCAACTTATATCAATTATTAAAAGTGCAATGATTTCATAAAATCCTAATATATAAAAGCCCGTGTGCGCACTTCTCTCTCTCTCTCTGTGTCCGCAAAATATTTTCGCCGGATATCACATCAGAATCTCCAGCGATATATGGAGAACTTGATATGGACTCTAGTTGAAAATAATATGGTAGATGTTTTAAATGTATAACCAACATTTTATTTAAAGAAGAAAAATAAAAAATAAAGGCATATTCGAACGTAGAAAAACAGTTTTAATTATGCAACAGGAAAAGGGTTTATAGTTGTGCAAAAGAACCAATGAAACAGTGACGTCACTAATGTTTATACATTAACTAATGACGTCATCTGCCGCATTAAGAAAGGAACTACTTCATTCAAATTTTATTTAGATCTAGATCTACTCATCAAGACGCACGCTATGAAATACATACAATTTTATCGGTCAAACTAATACAAATTACTTAAAACAACATAATGACCATTGAATAGCCAGATTTTTAACGGAATCATTTAAGTCACTTAATCAGTGTATACCTGTGTTATGTTAAATGTGTCGGATTTGTAGCTAATTAGTTATTTCTTTGCTTTATCACTAATATCGTCCAGCGTGTAGTAAAGCACATTGCGTTTTGACCAATAACTATTTCATAAATTATTTTTCTCAAACAAGTACAACATTTTAAAATATATTGGCCTATAATTCACGTTAAACGGGATTCCGATGGCTAGTGTTCTTATAACACAACATATATTATTATAAATACAAAAGAGAACACATTTTTAAAGTACAAACAGTAGGGATAAAAGTGAATTTTTATTGACATGAGAGAAATAAATACTAAACAAAACAAGCAGCTGTACAGTTAGCAAGCTTAAAGAAATACAAATTCTATCATTCCCTGGGTGCAACAAAAATGAATTTTTCACAATGGAAACATTTGGTACTATTAGAAATCTGCTGGCAAAAAGTCAATTCTACAGAGAGTGTAGGTAAATTTGTTTATGACATACATAGACATAGAAATAATTTTTAATCCAGCCCTTAGAAAACAAAAATTAAGTATGACAATGTGTAACAAAATGACATGAACATGTTTAGGTTTTTTAAAAACACTTTTGCCGCTATAACAAATCTTGTTTATTTTAAACCACTAATGGCATGGGAGGGTGAGGTTCAGATAACCTTAATTAGTTTAGAAAGCTTACATTACCTAGATTACAAGAATATTTTTGGGCTAACATTAACCACTGGGTTGTTTTAGTCAAGATTAATCTGCTGAATGATAATTTACGATCTGACTCATGAAACCAAATACTTCAAACATAAACAGAATTTGTGTTGTCATTAGATACACAATCAGTGACTGTTAACTGTGGCAAATGCAAAGTTAATGTTAACTGCTAAAATGGCAGCCAATATGTAAATAAAACAAGTAGTTCAGCACTGGTCTTTCAATAGAATATATAGGAAGATTTTTGAAGATTGCTTTTTCTTAGAAAATGCTAAAATGAATGATGATGTGGTACATATTAAAATTGTAAATAAAAACATAAAAAAAGTGTTTAAAATTCCATTCACTAAATTAAAAGATCACAGAACTACATCGTAACATTAATTATCACAAAGTCGTTAAAACAATGTTTTATTTTATCAGCTCTAACGATGAAATCAACATCCAGATAGTAGCACAATTATTGTTTATTTTACACAGATACACAGTTTCAACATCCAGATAGTAGTTCAATTATTGTTTATTTTACACAGATACACATTTTCAACATCCAGATAGTAGCATTGAATCATACAAACTTACTCATAGCAAAAATCAATTACACATAGACTGACATGCAAACTCTATTGAGTCATTTAGACATGTGACAGCAATATGTTAAGTATAAATACATCAGGAAATGAAAGTACACGGCCAACCCCCCCTTGATCTAGAGTTAGGAAACAACACAGCCACTAGAATTCTTTGGGTCTTTGTCTGACATCGGGACTTCTTTCTCTTTGACTGGTGCTAGTGGTGGGGTCTGGTCGTCCTTTCCTTTGGGCTGAAGTTAAAAATAGAATTTATTGGCTGAGAAAAGGATAGAAAAAGCAGATAATAGTAGATAACTATGGGACAAGTGTAGATAACTATGGGAAAAAGTGTAGATAACTATGAGGCAAGTGTAGATAACTATAGGACAAGAGTAGATAACTATGGGAAAATGTGTAGATAACTATGGGACAAGTGTAGATAACTATGGGAAAATGTGTAGATAACTATGGGAAAATGTGTAGATAACTATGGGAAAATGTGTAGATAACTATGGGAAAATGTGTAGATAACTATAGGACAAACAGAGCCCACAGAAAACACCATGGGACAAGGATGGGTAAGGGGAGTCATCAATTTATGACATTCACTCAAAGGGGAGATCAATATAACCATGCCTGATGTGGATGGGGAGGGTGTGTGTATGTATGTGTGTGTTTAAGACCATCTAAAAATTAACATCAAAACACCCAACCTGGACAACAAAGACAAAACATTTATCTGGCATGCAACATGTACACATTAAAAGTCTGGGCTCAGGTTTTAATAAGAAAAAACAAAACAGCTGCTCAGCATGTAATTAAATATAAAATCAAGGTATCTGGACTATAATTAAATATTAATGAAATCAAGGTATCTAGACTGTAAGATTCATACCCTTGTAATGAGTGATGAAGAAAAGAAAAGGTCATGAACTCTATGTTGTCTTAACAACTATTTTATTAAAAGTGTGCAGAGCACAGAAAATAAATTTTTTAAATCTTCCATGAAAAAAAAGAGAACATCTGCAATCAGTTTTTGGTTCATTAATGGGGAAAACCCATAAAAAAACCACAGTGATCATAAAGACTATTCACACCTAAAAATATTTTTTAATTTTTCATAAACATAATATTGATTCAACATTAATGACCATATTTAATAACAGACATTTACAATAAGAATTGCTGTGTGTTCTACATATACACATTACAGAACTAGTAAACTGGAAGTAAGTTTTGAGAACTGCTATTAAATTTTTGTGAAGGGGGTTGGACATTAATTGGATGACCCCCAGGGAACATAAAAGGATAACTGTAAATCAAGTTGTAAATAAAACCTACTAGACAAACTAGATAGTTGGAATCAAATTGTAAATAAAACCTACCTTCTCCTGCTTGTAAATAAAACCTACCTTCTCCGGCTTGTAAATAAAACCTACCTTCTCCGGCTTGTAAATAAAACCTACCTTCTCCGGCTTGTAAATAAAACCTACCTTCTCTGGCTTGTAAATAAAACCTACCTTCTCCGGCTTGTAAATAAAACCTACCTTCTCCGGCTTGTAAATAAAACCTACCTTCTCCGGCTTGTAAATAAAACCTACCTTCTCCGGCTGTGCTGACTTCTGCTGACCAGCTGGTACACTGAATTTATTGTAGACATCCTGTGACCACAGTGGGTCGAGGGCTGGGGGGGTGTACTCCTCAGGCTTGACCAGCCCAAATGTGTCCCGCTTCTCTAGAACTGGTGCATCAACTGCCACTTTCTGGTGGTATCTGCAGATACAAGATGGCTATTGAGGTCTCCACATTTTATCTGTCTATTCTAGTGGTAACTTCTAATACATGTTGGGCTATGATATTAAGGTCCATATATTTTTAGATAGAGGTATGAATCTTAACTAATGGAGATAGTTAATATTTTATTACTTGATAGTTATTTAGATAATTATTGTGGTTGAAGAAAAAAACAATTCTAATATTATAAATTCATGAAGTAAAATCAGAATAAAAAAAGTTCCTTGATTACTCTTTTAACAAGTGTAACAATGGTCATAATTTACTCACATGAGTCCATTCTCCCTCTCACACTTTTCTAACGTCCGCTTTAAAACTTTTTCTAAGTTTCTAAAGAATAAATGGTTCTGTGGCCTGGCTGTAGTACCAACCCCCTTCACTGTAGCATATTCTTTACATAATACTTCTGCCTTCCCATACACTGCCAATACAAAAAATAAAATGTTACATGTTTGAACAATACTTTTCAACAAAATAAAACAATAATAGTTTCAATAATTTTATAATTGTTTTCATTTAATTAGTAGACCTTTCTTTAGCATAAATTAATGTATAATTAGTATAAATTAATGTTTAATCAACAGCTTAAACAACGTACAGTCCAAGCTCTCTCTTAGTCCCCTAGTGGCCTCGCCACATTTATCTTGATTCAATAAATTTTCTCCGTTGTAACTGTGGGCCTGGTGGGACAAAAATAAAAGTTATAGCTGTGGGCCTAGTGAGACAAAAACAGAAGTTATAGCTGTGGGCATGGTGAGACAAAAAGTTATAGCTGTGGGCATGGTGAGACAAAAAGTTATAGCTGTGGGCCTGGTGAGACAAAAAGTTATAGCTGTGGGCATGGTGAGACAAAAACAGAAGTTATAGCTGTGGGCATGGTGAGACAAAAACAGAAGTTATAGCTGTGGGCATGGTGAGACAAAAAGTTATAGCTGTGGGCCTAGTGGGACAAAAACAGAAGTTATAGCTGTGGGCCTGGTGAGACAAAAACAGAAGTTATAGCTGTGGGCCTGGTGAGACAAAAACAGAAGTTATAGCTGTGGGCATGGTGAGACAAAAAGTTATAGCTGTGGGCCTAGTGGGACAAAAACAGAAGTTATAGCTGTGGGCATGGTGAGACAAAAAGTTATAGCTGTGGGCCTGGTGAGACAAAAACAGAAGTTATAACTGTGGGCCTGGTGAGACAAAAACAGAAGTTATAACTGTGGGCATGGTGAGACAAAAACAAAAGTTATAGCTGTGGGCCTGGTGAGACAAAAAGTTATAGCTGTGGGCATGGTGAGACAAAAACAAAAGTTATAGCTGTGGGCATGGCGAGACAAAAAGTTATAGCTGTGGGCATGGCGAGACAAAAACAGAAGTTATAGCTGTGGGCATGGTGAGACAAAAACAAAAGTTATAGCTGTGGGCATGGCGAGACAAAAAGTTATAGTTGTGGGCCTAGTGGGACAAAAACAGAAGTTATAGCTGTGGGCATGGTGAGACAAAAAGTTATAGCTGTGGGCATGGCGAGACAAAAACAGAAGTTATAGCTGTGGGACAAAAACAGAAGTTATAGCTGTGGGTCTGGAGGCACAAAAACAGAAGAACTGAGACCAAAACTGAGCTAGTTAACTGGCAATTTTTTACAAATACAACAGATGGTGGTCAATTACACATTTAGGGACAAGTCTAGGGTCAATAAAACAACTACAGACTTAAGTATGGTCAATAAAACACTAATGGACAAGTCTTCTAAGGTCAACTAAACACATATGGTCATATGTATGGTCATTTAAACATATGGACAAACCTATGGTCAGTTTAACACTTATGTAAAATCCTATGGTCAGTTCAACACTTATGGGAAAGCCTATGGTCAGTTCAACACTTATGGGAAAGCCTATGGTCAGTTCAACACTTATGGGAAAGCCTATGGTCAGTTCAACACTTATGGGAAAGCCTATGGTCAGTTCAACACTTATGGAAAATCCTATGGTCAGTTCAACACTTATGGGAAAGCCTATGGTCAGTTCAACACTTATGGAAAATCCTAAAAGCAATTTAAAAAGTGACACATACACAAGCTGTATAAAATTTGTTCTTGAGTTGAAAATATTTCCTCCACTTAGCAACATCTTTCTGATCTAAGCTAGCCAGGGCATCATCTAGAAAACAGTAAGGATTATATAAATATTCATTTTCATACTACTTTGCTGCAGCACTGAAATAGGTGACGTGAACAGTCCAGAGGTTTCAGTGCTGTTGTGAAGCTAAGACTTCGTTTCTGATCTTATATCTTTATAAAACTATTTTCGGTTTGTACTCTTAGTGCATTAAAATAGCTTTGTATGATATTAGGCTATGTCTTAAAAATTATAATTTAGAAATTGTTATTTTTCTTAAATAAAGTTAAACTAATTATATATGCAACAAATGCAGAGAATGTATCAAATGGGGCATTCTTACCTCCCTTCTGATAGAGTTCTGCAGTTTCAAAAGCCAATGAAGATATCAAAGTAACTGCATGTTTTAACTCAATAGCTCTGGCTAAAGTAACTGAAACAAAGTAATTGCTCTTAGTATAGATTTCTTGATGGGTTTTTAGGAAAACCAGGTGTTGCACCAATAGCCGATTTATTAATAACTGAATAAACAATTCAGGAAAAATATTTTTTAGAATTGTGTCCCTACAGGTATTTTTTTTAAATGTGATAAAATACACAAATTGTCCAATGGTTGGCCATATGACTATCCTTACTCTCTTGTGCCTCGGCAGTACACTGATGAATGTAGGCATCCAGTACACGTCCGTCTGTATCATGGGCTCCCTCTGATGGTGGATCAAGTAGCTTTGGTCTCAAATCATCCTACAGAAATGGCCAAAACAGTGGCTCGATTAAGAAAAGTTAGTATTAAGAAAAATGATGTTGCAAAATTTAATGTCAGACTATTATCTAACTGTCAAGGTATCCAATCATGAATGTATTTATAATCTTAGTGACAACAGTCTCTAATTTAAAACTAGATATAAGACTAGACATAAGATTGCAAGTAAACAAAAGCATGCGATGTTGAAGAGTTCTTACCTTACAAAATTTAAACACTCCAGCAGCTGTCTTTAAACACTTGTGAATTTCTTTGGCTTCCTCCATATCTGGCCTAAGGAGAACATTGGTATACTCTAAGCTGAGTTTTATTGAAATCAATGGTTAACTGACACTTTGAAAAAGATGAGAACATTTAAATCTGAGTAGAATCATTACTTCTAATTATATTTGAACACAATGGCAGCAGATAAACTGTTGTTCAACTTACGTCTCTTTAGCAGCAAGCTTGGCGGCATGTTTAGTCAACCAGAGGCCAACATTAAACAACATTGAGAAATACTCAAAACCAGTGTCTGAACATTCCCTGGTGGATAGAGAAGTTACAAATTTAGCTTCAGCTCCTTCAGTTTGGATAAACATAAAAAATGTGCTGGTTTAATTATCCTAGCTATAATTTCTTATTAAATACAATAGGTGCTAATTAAAAAATTATTACCCAATTGTTTTATTTCATCTTCTATGTTATCAATAAGAATTGTAATGTTGGAAGGGATTTCCTCCAACACAATTAAGTATTACATGTCAAATACAGGCCATTTGCTTCCATAGCTTTTGTCTATCCAAGAACATACTACAAGGCAGCAGTTGTATAATTTTGGTGAGTTTTCTCTCCTAGATGGGTTGCTGTCCTCAGCTATCAATCCCCATCTGCCGGGGTGTTCAAACTCTGGACTTCTTAGTTAAACAAACAACATCTTTACCACCCGTACCACACAGACCCCCAATAATTTTCAAACAAGACTACAAATTATGTCTTTAATGCTTTAGTAGCACATGGCACCCATACCCTGAACTATGCCAGTTAGTAGAAGTAATAATATAAACTCACACTGGAACATTTCCTAGTAAAGTATTTGACCACTTGTATTTGATGAGCTTGCGCAGCTTGTTCTCTGGCTGACTTGGATCCATCGGGATACACAGACCCTGCAGCAAACCTAAATACTCAGCAGCTGCCTTGTCCACCACATCTTTGGAGTTGCCTGGGTCTGTTAGCAAGTCCAATAACTTTGCTCTTGAGATTCTTAGATCACTGATAGAAGAATTACATTAAAGATAAATCAGAGTCCTATTGGTAATTAAAAAAAAATTGACAAGGGCCAAAACTGTAGCCTAGGCCTATAAAAAATATTTAAAATAATAGTTAATATTAGGCCCTAATTATTAATTAATTAATTAGGCCTACTACTAGGTCTAGGGTAGATACTTTTTTTACTAGATTCTAGGCCTAAATAAATTATTAAAATAAATAGTAAATAAAAATATGTAGGCTAAGTAAAAATTAAAATAAGGCCAAGGCCTATGCTATTTTAATTATTTATTATCTAGGATTTAGTTACTTGGTATCTCTCTTTTAAGATCTAGAATTTATATTCTATAGGATTAGTTTACTTTTATGGCCGATTCTAGTCGGAATAAGATACGCATGCGATACGCATGCGCAATGGAGAGAAACTACGACTTAGCGGCGATGTTTTCGATGGTACTGCGCATGCGTGTGTTTACAACCGCAGAACCCTAATACCAACCCTAATCCTATCCTTAACCCTATCCCTAATCCTATCCCTAACCCTAACCCTAACCCTAGCCCTAATCCTATCCCTAACCCTAACCCTAGCCCTAATCCTATCCCTAACCCTATCCCTAATCCTACCCCTAACCCTCATTCTAGCCCTTACCCTAGCCATAGGTCACTGCGCATGCGCAGAACTATCTTTTGCCGAAAAATCTTATTCCGAGTAGACACTTCGTACTTTTAATACTACGATGACTCAGTGTCTTATTTTGATGAGACATCCTCATCCGTAGCGTAGAGCCGTAGAGAACTCGAACTCATAACTCAACTCACTTTGAAAACAGACATGACAAAATGACATATTTTAAAAAATATTGATTTAATTTTTTAAATAGTTTTTTAACCTGAATATTTTTCTAGTAGAGTCATTAGTAGATACACCATGCAGCTCATAATTTACAGGTGCAGTTGCTTTAAGTGGATTTCGATGAAACCAGTAAGCCATTTTTGACGTTCAGATTATTGACGGAAATAATAATTCTGTTTACAATTATGCTGAAAATAAATTTTCGCATTATTGTTTGTATTAATTAAAAACTTGTTTTTAAATTTTTAAATTATCACAAATAATTTGCTATGTTTTACCCAACAATGTAATCACAATTTCATTTCTAATAATCTTGCGTTCAAAATTCTTGTTTCTCTTGAACAGACTTAAGATGAATAATGATTAGATCTAGTCAAAAACATTTTATACAATCAAATAATAATAGCTAATCCGAGGAACATTTAAAAATTATATAGATCTATTCTCTATGTCATGTTTATATATATATATAGAAGATCTAGATCTATAATTTCACTACTCTGGTAGTTATGCATATTTTAATTTTTTGCTAGGATAGGCTATGAATAAAAAAAGTGTTAAGACATTTCGTCTGTACTTAACTATTTGTTATTATATGAAAAATCATAATAATATTTAAAACCATTAATCATTTTGTAATATTTTCTTATGCAGTACGGATGGTATTGGTATTACCATTGATTATCTTTATTCTTATTTTTGCAAAAATTTTACAGGATAAAATTGATGGATATATAATGTTGACTTCACTGGATTTCATAATTTTCTTTTAAAACAATTTTGTAGACAAAGTTATGTTAGTATTTGATATTGAATTTTAAAATGAGGTGGAGTCCTTAGATATTATTAGACATCTAGATCTATATACTATATATATATATATATATATATATATATATATATATATATATATATTGTATGAAAATTGGTAGCCTACGAAAATGTTAAAAAATGTTACAGAAGTTAGAAGAAGTGAACAGTGTTTCTTCCAGACCTTTTTCTCCGGGGGGGGGGGGGGGGGGGGGGGCACTTGAAATTTTCGGGGGGGGGGCGGTAAAAAAATTTCGGGGGGAGGGGGGGTGGCGAAGCCCCCCCGAAGAGATGCCTGGAAGAAACTCTGGAAGTGCATAAACAATATCTCAATCCCTAACAAAGATATCTAGTTTTTTCTTGATTTTTTAAAATTAGCCAATAATTTATATTCTGCAATAAGATTTATTACAAGTTTATAAGGTTTATAAAGTTTATAAGGTTGGTTTTTTTAATAAAATGATTAAAAAACAAATCATAACCGACTTACTTACTTAGTACTTAACCAAATGTCAGTTTGTTAAGTATTTAACAATAGTAATCTAATAAACTACTAAAATACTGTATTTATAAGTTCAAACAATTAGGATAACTAGAATCAATAAACTATTATTAAAAAGTTTATAAGGTTGGTTTTTTTAATAAAATGATTAAAAAACAAATCATAACCGACTTACTTACTTAGTACTTAACCAAATGTCAGTTTGTTAAGTATTTAACAATAGTAATCTAATAAACTACTAAAATACTGTATTTATAAGTTCAAACAATTAGGATAACTAGAATCAATAAACTATTAATTTTATTTTCAATAGCCTAGGCCTATTATTTTTAAATTTAACAATTAAGCGTATTGCTCTTCGGGTAAATAGTTTTCTAATGACAACTACACTAACCGTTTTTCGTAAATCGAAAGTAGAAAAAAACCGAGGAGCTGTAACAACTTTACAAGTAAAGGTAGTCTAGATTCTAGATCTAGATTCTATAATGCACCATAAAACATGTAGATCTAGATCTACTTTAATACATTACATTGATTGGATATTAGGACAATATTTTTAGTTAACCCTTAATGTGTGGCCTCAACTCAGTCAACTCAATCACAGTGACATGCCGAGCCGATAACTCAGTCACTCAGTCAACTCACACTGACAACTGTCAGTGTCACTCACTTAAATTTTAAATTTAGGTCAATGAAATTAAAAATTATCTCTGGCAGGAAAAGGGAGGGGTGAGAGGGAATATATATATAGATCTATTTATATAATAATTAAACTTCTAACAAAGATTTTTTCTCTATTTTTAGTAAGTATTAATTAATTACTATTAAATTATTAATTAGTATTTTAACTGTTAATTTTAAATTTTAACAATTCTATCTACTTAATAAAATACTAAAAAATAGGCCTAATGAATTCAATTCATCAATCGCACTGCTGGTGATTGTGGAAGAGGTATTGACTTGAGTATTTGCAATTTGGATTTTATTTTAGGCCGCATTTGCGCGGTTAGCACTGAGCTAAATCTTTACCCTACGTTGCGCATGATCTAAAAAAATTAGACTGCCCGTTTTTTTTTTTTCATCTTAGCAATTTAATGTTGACATAGATCTAGTCTAGATCTAGTTTAAGTGTTTTATTTCAACACCTAATAAGAATCTAGATTCTAGATCTAGTACTTGTAAAAAAACAGTTTAATGTCAGTAGTAGGTCAGATGATAGTCCTAGATCTAGCTAAATCAAACTGCTCTTTAGTAAAATGTTTTTACAGCTATCTATCTAGCATGTGTGATAGATGTAGTAGATCTAAGTCTATATTATTATATTAAGCCTATGTGAACTTAAAAAAAAATGACCAGAAGTAGGTCTATTTTTCAGTTTGCTTGACTTGAAGGGGGGGGAGAGGGAAGGTAAGACACTGACGATCTTGTGTACTTGTGTTCATTCTATGACATATGCTATAGGCCTGCTGAACTCACAGTTACCCCACCGACTGTGGTAGGATTTTTCACCCACGAGATAGTAAACGTAAGCAAGCAATCACATGAGTGACGATGTTTGGAAATTTTATTTAAAAAATCACACGTCATGTTTTCAATATGAAAAAAATAAAATGTAAAAAAGACACTAATACTGGACGTGCTAACCCTGGGTTTGAACTCTGAGCTCCAGGTCTATGAACTTCTGCTGCCACACTGTTGACTCAACAGTATTAGAAAAGGAAAAGGTAACTCATTAGTAAGCCTTTTCAATCACAAGATGGCAAATCCCAAAGGAAATAAACACTGCTTCATTTTCTTACTGCAGGTCGAAATATATGGTAATTCCAAACATAATAGCCTATTAATTTATATGTAGTAGATTATCTATTACTGGACCTGAATTTGTATATTAGAGTATTAGTTATATATGTATAGGGTGTTGAATAATTTTCCTGATACCATATATGGAATTTAAAAATACTCGTAACACTCTGCGATGTGCATAGTCACTTCGTTTGCTGGTAACACTCTGCGATATGCGTAATCACTTGGTTAATTTTAATAGCTAGATCAAGATTTAAAATTCTAAATGACATGGAAACAGAATATTGTTAATAGTGATTGGTAGTAATAGTACGAGTGTTACTGATCAGATAAGGCGATGAACTTTATTTTTAACATTTTTTTTAACAATAAAATTATATTTTAAAACTAAAACAAAATGTAAGTTATTCTCTACACTTTCAAAAGAGTACTACAACAACACTTCTGTAACTTCTCTTCATTTCTTTTGTTGAGTATCAAATCATTATTGCTGTTCACCAGATTGGTAAAATAAACAAAATAAGCCTACTAGTACTGTTCTGTTTCTGATTTTACTAGGGATGCATTTTTAAGCAAACAGTTTTCAAGTTTAGAAAATGGATAGACGTCCACACTCTAAAGAAGATGAAGAAGATCTTCTAAAATTACAAAAAGAGTTTCTAGCTTCATCTCAGCCTTCTAGCTCTATCTTAATCAAACGTCCAGATAAGCGCAAAACAGAAAAGGATGAAGAGGATAAAAGAGATGTTGTTACAATGGAAGGTAGGCTAATTGATTGTTGTTCAACAATAAGTCAGTATGTAGCTCCAAATTTTCAACGATTATAAATGCATATATATTTATGTGTATATATATTGCATATATATAAAGGTATATATAAAATACATTATAATTGTAGGAGTAGAGGCATCTGGTAGTAAAGCTGATGTTCCCTTAAAGAAATTAAAGACAAAAGTTGGATTTAGTGACCAAGACACATCAGACAGAAAACAAAATGAGGCTGGAGATAATGCTAGCAGTGATGCAGACATTGAGGAAATGATGGACAGTAATGATCTCATTTTTCATAACATCTTTGTTTTTGTTTTTACATTTAATAATTTTTAAACTGTTCTTTTAACTGTACACTTTTGTCTAACAAAAAATTCCATTTACCAAAAAAAGTTTTTCTTGACTTCGAGATTTTAACTATTTTTACCTTATATTTTGTTCAGGACAAGACAGAGGCTTGGCAGCTGTGTTAACTACAATTATTGTAAGTTAAATTTTATTTAAAAAAAAATCCTTTCTTGAGTTTGATTGATAAAATAATAATAGACAAATTAAGTGCGGACAAAATAGATCGCTGCTGATAATTAGACCACTTGGCCTTAAATCACCCATGTTCTCCCCTGAAAAATGCCAGGTATCCATTAGAGTTGAGTTTACTCAATGTGTTTTTTCCATCTGGATTGCAGTTGCAAAAAATAAATAAATACTGGAAGGTTTTTTAAAATCCAAAATTTGCTAATTGCAATATAGTTTTGTCCTAACAGTTAGGCTAACTCCCTTTTCTATCATGTCCAGGAAAGAGATACAAGAAATGAGATGTGTAACGCCCCTATTTTAGGAAAACAAGCCTTCCCAAGTGTCCTGCCTATGAATCTCAGCCAACAGGTGAGCTGAACATTTTTCTCCTAGGAAAATTTACCCAAGGGCATTAAAGTTGTTTTGAGTACTGTCTTTTAAGAAGATTGAGAATGTTTTTTTCCCCTTACCAAACAGAACCCAAACTCTTCAGGCAGTGTGAGAAAAAAAAGTTTGTTTGCTCAGCAAGTGGAAGCCTTGAGTGCCAGCCATTTTGGTGTACAGCCTCAACCACAAAGACCTGTCAGTAAATTTAGGTCAAGGTCAAGTCAGGTGACAACACCAGGAATCTCAGGTTTGTTAGATCTGGTTATATAACCTTGTACATATTGAAGGCTGGTTAGATAATGTTATATCATGCTGTATAAAGGCTGGTTAGACCTAGATATATCATACTGTATAAAGGCTGGTTAGATCTGGATATATCATACTGTATAAAGGCTGGTTAGATCTGGATATATCATACTGTATAAAGGCTGGTTAGATCTGGATATATCATACTGTATAAAGGCTGGTTAGATCTGGATATATCATACTGTATAAAGGCTGGTTAGATCTGGATATATCATGCTGTATAAAGGTTGGTTAGACCTGGATATTAATAAACATCTTTAAATATTCATCTTTAAATATTGAACTTAAAAACATGCTGGCCTCGTATGTATAACTTGAATACACAAATGTATTTTTCTTACAATTTTCAAGTAAGATTTTGTAAAGATAACTTGAATTCCATTGTGATTCCAAACATCAGTTGCTGGTCCATGTGTCATTGATGGGGCTGGGCTGAGTGCTTCACAGAGCAAGTTAGAGTCACAGAACATCCATGAAGAAAATGTACAGAAGTTGTCCTCCATGTCTGAGGCTGAAATTCTAGATGAGCAGCAGAAGCTGTTGAAGATGATTGGTGAGTTGTAGGTTTATATGTTTGGTGGTGAGCTGTAGGTTTATGTGTTTGGTGGTGAGCTGTAGGTTTATATGTTTGGTGGTGAGTTGTAGGTTTATATGAGTGTTTGGTGGTGAGCTGTAGGTTTATATGTTTGGTGGTGAGCTGTAGGTTTATATGTTTGGTGGTGAGCTATAGGTTTATATGTTTGGTGGTGAGCTGTAGGTTTATATGTTTGGTGGTGAGCTGTAGGTTTATATGTTTGGTGGTGAGCTGTAGGTTTATATGTTTGGTGGTGAGTTGTAGGTTTATATGTTTGGTGGTGAGTTGTAGGTTTATATGTTTGGTGGTGGGCTGTAGGTTTATATGAGTGTTTGGTGGTGTGCTGTAGGTTTATATGTTTGGTGGTGTGCTGTAGGTTTATATGAGTGCTTGGGGGTGAGTTGTAGGTTTATAGGAGTGTTTTGTGGTGAGTTGTAGGTTTACATGAGTGTTTGGTGGTGAGCTGTAGGTTTATATGAGTGTTTGGTGGTGAGCTGTAGGTTTATATGTTTGGTGGTGAGCTGTAGGTTTATATGTTTGGTGGTGAGTTGTAGGTTTATATGTTTGGTGGTGAGCTGTAGGTTTATATGTTTGGTGGTGAGTTGTAGGTTTATATGTTTGGTGGTGAGCTGTAGGTTTATATGTTTGGTGGTGAGCTGTAGGTTTATATGTTTGGTGGTGAGCTGTAGGTTTATATGTTTGGTGGTGAGCTGTAGGTTTATATGTTTGGTGGTGAGTTGTAGGTTTATATGTTTGGTGGTGAGCTGTAGGTTTATATGAGTGTTTGGTGGTGAGCTGTAGGTTTATATGTTTGGTGGTGAGCTGTAGGTTTATATGTTTGGTGGTGAGTTGTAGGTTTATATGTTTGGTGGTGAGTTGTAGGTTTATGTTTGGTGGTGAGTTGTAGGTTTATATGTTTGGTGGTGAGCTGTTGGTTTATATGAGTGTTTTGTGGTGAGTTGTAGGTTTACATGAGTGTTTGGTGGTGAGCTGTAGGTTTATATGAGTGTTTGGTGGTGAGCTGTAGGTTTATATGTTTGGTGGTGAGCTGTAGGTTTATATGTTTGGTGGTGAGTTTTAGGTTTATATGTTTGGTGGTGAGCTGTAGGTTTATATGTTTGGTGGTGAGTTGTAGGTTTATATGTTTGGTGGTGAGCTGTAGGTTTATATGTTTGGTGGTGAGTTGTAGGTTTATATGTTTGGTGGTGAGCTGTAGGTTTATATGTTTGGTGGTGAGCTGTAGGTTTATATGTTTGGTGGTGAACTGTAGATTTATATGAGTGTTTGGTGGTGAGCTGTAGGTTTATATGTTTGGTGGTGAGCTGTAGGTTTATATGAGTGTTTGGTGGTGAGCTGTAGGTTTATATGAGTATTTGGTGGTGAGCTGTAGGTTTATATGAGTGTTTGGTGGTGAGCTGTATGTTTATATGAGTGTTTGATGGTGAGCTGTAGGTTTATATGAGTGTTTGGTGGTGAGCTGTAGGTTTATAGGAGTGTTTGGTGGTGAGTTGTAGGTTTATATGTTTGGTGGTGAGCCGTAGGTTTATATGAGTGTTTGGTGGTGAGTTGTAGGTTTATATGAGTGTTTGGTGGTGAGCTGTAGGTTTATATGTTTGGTGGTGAGCTGTAGGTTTATATGAGTATTTGGTGGTGAGCTGTAGGTTTATATGTTTGGTGGTGAGTTGTAGGTTTATATGTTTGGTGGTGAGCTGTAGGTTTATATGAGTGTTTGGTGGTGAGCTGTAGGTTTATATGAGTGTTTGGCGGTGAGCTATAGGTTTATATGTTTGGTGGTGAGCTGTAGGTTTATATGAGTGTTTTGTGGTGAGCTGTAGGTTTATATGAGTGTTTGGTGGTGAGCTGTAGGTTTATATGAGTGTTTGGTGGTGAGCTGTAGGTTTATATGAGTGTTTGGTGGTGAGCTGTAGGTTTATATGAGTGTTTGGTGGTGAGCTGTAGGTTTATATGAGTGTTTGGTGGTGAGCTGTAGGTTTATATGAGTGTTTGGTGGTGAGCTGTAGGTTTATATGAGTGTTTGGTGGTGAGCTGTAGGTTTATAGGAGTGTTTTGTGGTGAGTTGTAGGTTTATATGTTTGGTGGTGAGCTGTAGGTTTATATGAGTGTTTGGTGGTGAGCTGTAGCTTTATATGAGTGTTTGGTGGTGAGTTGTAGGTTTATATGTTTGGTGGTGAGCTGTAGGTTTATATGAGTGTTTGGTGGTGAGCTGTAGGTTTATATGAGTGTTTGGTGGTGAGCTGTAGGTTTATATGTTTGGTGGTGAGCTGTTGGTTTATATGAGTGTTTTGTGGTGAGTTGTAGGTTTATATGAGTGTTTGGTGGTGAGCTGTAGGTTTATATGTTTGGTGGTGAGCTGTAGGTTTATATGTTTGGTGGTGAGCTATAGGTTTATATGTTTGGTGGTGAGCTGTAGGTTTATATGTTTGGTGGTGAGCTGTAGGTTTATATGTTTGGTGGTGAGCTGTAGATTTATATGAGTGTTTGGTGGTGAGCTGTAGGTTTTTATGAGTGTTTGGTGGTGAGCTGTAGGTTTATATGAGTGTTTGGTGGTGAGCTGTAGGTTTATATGTTTGGTGGTGAGCTGTAGGTTTATATGTTTGGTGGTGAGCTGTAGGTTTATATGAGTGTTTGGTGGTGAGCTGTAGGTTTATATGAGTGTTTTGTGGTGAGTTGTAGGTTTATATGAGTGTTTGGTGGTTTGTTATTATTCATACTTTTAAACCCATAAGTAAGATAATACTTTTTTTAAATGTCCAGATCCCAAACTAGTTGAGTTCCTGAGGGCCAAGAGAAAAGCTAAAGAAGAACAAGGGAGACAAGCAGGGGATGTCCCAGAGCAGGCCAGGACTTTCTCTGTGCAAAAAGAAAAGAGAAAGCAGCTGAAGAAAGGTGCTGGAAACTTGTGTCTGTCATAGTCCGCTGGTGTCAATATTGGTGTGTCCTGGAAACTTGTGTCTGTCTTAGTCCAATGTTGTCATTATTGGTGTGTCTTGGAAACTTGTGTCTGTCATAGTCCAATGTTGTCATTATTTGTGTGTCCTGGCTCTGGCCACTTGTTAGCTTTATGTGTGCCTGGTCTGATCAGGTCAGTTGTATACTAAGTGTGTCTGTCTTGTTGGGTTGTTTCTGGAAAAATCATAGAACATCAGCCGGTTAATACCCAGTTGACAGTACCATATAACTTGGTAACCAACTGACTGTAACCATTTAACTCTGTAACCATTTAACTCTGTAACCATTTAACTCTGTAACCATTTAACTCTGTAACCAGCTGACCCTGAGCTTGACCTGCCTGTCAAACCTGACAAGAACTGGGTCCACATGACAACTGTTGAAAAGGACAAACTGGAGTGGATGAAAGATCTACCACCCCCGTCCTCCTTATCATCTGAGGTTTGGCTCAATACATGTTTCTAGTCTTGGTCAACCTTTTTATATTGGAGCAGATTGAGATAGTTTTTGAACAAATTAAAACAAACCTAAGTATTGCTTAGTTTAGGGAAGTGTAGGTATGTGGACTGTTGTTGATGGTATAATTATTTTTAACGTGTCCCAACTCCAACGTTAGAGACATGTAGCTATTAACTTGAGTCAGTATATTAAAGTCTATGTATTGCTTCTTTATTAAATTCACAACTTCAGTACACAACAGATAACAGTCCAGCTTAAGTTTACATTTTATAGCCTTAATGTTGAACCTCCAGTTCCTATGCCACTGATGTATTTTTGTACATTTCTTACAATGAGAAATTTAAACAAAGGGGTTTCTAGTCTGTCCCTTCTTAAATGTTTACAACCATTGTTTACTTTAATAAAATCTGTAACACAATCTTAACATTGAGTAATGTAACTATGAATGTATTTGTTTTAATGTTATTAATATCTCCAGAACAACTTTATGAAAGATGGTGGTTGTTTCACCTTTGTTTTCACCTGTGTTGTGTGTATCTAGACAGGTAGAGCTGCCAGGTTTGACTTTAAAGGTAACCTCCTGCCAGTGGACGTGGATCTACCTGTCAACATGGGACTCCACCATCATGGGGAGGAACCTGAGGTTGGTTTGGTGCTAACTTAGTGCAGTCTAACTTTCATGTATTTAGATTGTATTTAGTGCAGTCTTAATTTCATGTATTTAGATTGTACTCAGTACAGTCTAACTTTCATGTATTTAGATTGTACTCAGTACAGTCTAACTTTCATGTATTTAGATTGTATTTAGTGCAGTCTAACTTTCATGCATGTAGTTTGTATTTAGTGCAGTCTAACTTTCATGTATTTAAATTGTATTTAGTGCATTCTAACTTTCATGTTTTTAGATTGTATTTAGTGCAGTCTAACTTTCATGTATTTAAATTGTATTTAGTGCAGTCTAAATTTCATGTATTTAAATTATATTTAGTGCAGTCTAATTTTTATGGAATCAAATCATATTTAGTTCAGTCTAATTTTTATGGAATCAAATTATATTTAGTGCAATCTAATTTTTATGGAATCAAATCATATTAAGTGCAGTCTAATTTTTATGGAATCAAATCATATTTAGTGCAGTCTAATTTTTATGGAATCAAATCATATTTAGTGCAGTCTAATGTGATCAAATCAGCCTGTGAGAGTTGATTTGTGTTTCTTACAAGCTTCTATATCTATTTGACTGTGTGTAGAGAGCTGGCTACACACTGGAAGAGCTGTTTCAACTGGCCAGAAGTTCTAACCTACAGCAGAGGTCCCTCGCACTTCACACCCTTGCCAGGGTAGTTTCTAATGTAAAAGTTTTTTATTCTATTTTTTTCAATTTTTAGTTCGTCTTTAATCAGAGAATTTTGGAATGTACTCAGTTCAATTGTATACCATAACATATTTAAAAGTATTTGTTTTAAAATAATTTCATTAATAATGCACCATTAAATCTACTAGGCTAAATCCGGAGTTTATGTGGGGAAAGTTGAAACTCCCATAATTCCTGCAATTTTAGCTGGCGGAGCTGTGATTTTGTTACGCTGGGCTCTTGATGACAGTGTGTCAGGGGCCATCACTGCAGCCATTGATGCTCTACATGCCCTTCTGTTTAACCCCTTGGATGAGGTTAGTTTTCTTCAGTAATTTATTACTTCAAGTTAAAAGCACAGTCCAAGTATAGCCAAACATTTTTAACATCTCTAAAAAGCCATTGATACAAACTTGGACCTGGTACCAGGGCAATGTCCTCCCTGCTTTTACTGTCACTGTTTAACTTGATGCCATCTCTAGGAAGCCATTGACCTAACATGGACCTGGTACCAGGACAATGTCCTCCCTGCTTTAACTGTTTAACTTGATGCCATCTCTAGGAAGCCATTGACCTAACATGGACCTGGTACCAGGGCAATGTCCTCCCTACTTTAACTGTTTAACTTGATGCCATCTCTAGGAAGCCATTGACCTAACATGGACCTGGTACCAGGGTAATGTCCTCCCTGCTTTAACTCCCACTGAAACACTAGAGAAAGAGTCGCAGCCAGAGGATATGGATGAAGAAAACAAAGAGGTTGAGACTGATGCTGATGTCATTAAGAGAGATGTAGTTCAGGTACAAAATATTTTCTTACCCAGACACCCATCTTAGAATTCCATACATTGCCTCAAATAACTGGTAAAGCCAGAGAAACTGCTGTGAATTGTTGAATCATTCCGCCCAAATGTCATTTAAAAAATTTCTTTCCTCAACTTAAGTAAATTAATGTTTAGGATAAATGGGTTGCTAAATTGCAAGTTTTGGAAGTTCTGGAGCCTGTATGTGGTCCCTGATCACACCCAGCTGTAACAAAGACCTTATTCATTAGGGACATGATGCTGACCACACAATCCTTTCACATGCTGAGCTCAAAGATACAGACAAACCTTCATGTCTTAGGGAACTTTTCTTACCTCCTTATGGTACATAAACAGTTTGCAACAAGTTGTTTTTTTTTTGTTCAGGCCCTTGTGACCCGCATGGAGCTCCTCACTCGCTTCCGCTACATACTAGTGAGTGTCAGACCTCAGGCCAGCACTGTCGTTCAGATGCTGGAGATATTGAGGAGAGTCGCTCAACACTCGGCTACATTGGCATACGAGGTCAATACATTTTTACAGCTTTATTTTCTTATGTCGTATTGAGGATTTTATTGATGCACTTCTGCTTTCAAATAATTTAAATAAAAAAACTTCTTGTGATCCTTTTCATGTTGGTAGCTCTAACTTGTCTTACAGATAGAGAAGTGTCCCGGATTATTAGAGAAAATTGTACAAGACTTTCTACCAACTGCTTGGTATATTGAAGGTGGGTTTTATATTTTACCCTGTTACAAATAATTACTCTGTCCAACTAGTTACAATGTATTAGTTCCAGTTAAGTTTTTTTAAAATATTAAAACTTTTCACTGATAACTTACTAAGACAAGTTTTTTTTTCATTTCTGTAATAATGTCCATTAGAAGCTGGTCAGCCTGTCCACAACGTGTATGGTGTTCCACTTCCTGCTGCGCTGCGACTGATGCGGGTGCTGTGTCAGAGTGGAAGGAACATGGCTTGTATCCTGGTAAACAGACAGTCCAACACATTTTTAAAAGTCTAGTGGCTAAGCTCAGCAAAATAAAATTTGTCCCCCATCATTTAGCTTCACACAATTATTAAATTGTTTTAATAATTGTTTGCTTTATTTTTATTCTCTTGAAAAATATTTACAGACTTCAAAGTTTCAACTGGTCATTAAAATCTTGCGGTATCTAGCAGTGCCTGTCAGGTAACAAATTTCATTGACCTAATTGACCTAATTAATTTATAACTGTTTTTGATTAATGCAGTCCTTTTTGAGGTAATCTTTTTATGAACAAATAATTTATTTCACCAGCGATTTACAGCTTCCATCATCAGAGGCTACCCTGCTTCATGCTGAAGCTTTTGCTTTATGGAGAGTTTGTGCTACCTATGGTTTTGCTGTTCAAGCTTATTTGTGAGTAGCTATTAACATAAATTATAGTTTGTTATACTAGTGATGAAGCCATGACATACATCTACTATTATAAAACATTGTCCACTTTGTATTCCAGTGACTTGTACCCTAACATTGTCCACTTTGTATTCCAGTGACTTGTACCCTAACATTGTCCAATTTGTATTCCAGTGACTTGTATCCTAACATTGTCCAATTTGTATTCCAGTGACTTGTATCCTAACATTGTCCACTTTGTATTCCAGTGACTTGTACCCTAACATTGTCCAATTTGTATTCCAGTGACTTGTATCCTAACAATGTCCACTTTGTATTCCAGTGACTTGTACCCTAACATTGTCCACTTTGTATTCCAGTGACTTGTACCCTAATATTGTCCACTTTGTATTCCAGTGACTTGTACCCTAACAATGTCCACTTTGTATTCCAGTGACCTGTACCCTAACATTGTCCACTGTGTATTCCAGTGACTTGTACCCTAACATTGTCCACTTTGTATTCCAGTGACTTGTATCCTAACATTGGCCAATTTGTATTCCAGTGACTTGTACCCTAACATTGTCCACTTTGTATTCCAGTGACTTGTACCCTAACATTGTCCACTGTGTATTCCAGTGACTTGTACCCTAACATTGTCCACTTTGTATTCCAGTGACTTGTATCCTAACATTGTCCACTTTGTATTCCAGTGACTTGTACCCTAACATTGTCCACTTTGTATTCCAGTGACTTGTACCCTAACATTGTCCACTTTGTATTCCAGTGACTTGTATCCTAACATTGTCCAATTTGTATTCCAGTGACCTGTACCCTAACATTGTCCAATTGTATTCCAGTGACTTGTATCCTAACATTGTCCAATTTGTATTCCAGTGACTTGTACCCTAACATTGTCCACTTTGTATTCCAGTGACTTGTACCCTAACATTGTCCACTTTGTATTCCAGTGACTTGTACCCTAACATTGTCCACTTTGTATTCCAGTGACCTGTACCCTAACATTGTCCACGCCGTGGGTAAGCTGGAAAGTACATGCTCCCCTGACCAACCACCCAGCTCAGACGTCAGAAGTGACCACACAAGATTTGATGTTGGGCTGATTAGTGTGCTGGAGAAAATTGTTTCTCTGGCTGGAGATTCAAAACAAGTGCAGGGTTTGAAAAAGTTAGTTCCTTTTAGTGCTGAGTTTCCAAAAGCCTGTCATTATTAAATGATCCTGCAGTTTTTGACTGTTTCATTGTGCAGTTCTAGCATTAGACTCAAATAAAATCCTTCCATGTATTTAAATTTATTTTATTCGTTTCTAAAGTTTAAATGTTTGATTTCATAATAATAATTATGTCATTTATCCATTTTAAATTAGTATCTATGTTTTATGTCCTCTTTTCTCAGCCATAATGAGAGCAGTTTTAAGGAAGTTGTTCAGCCAGACATCAACTGGAGTCATGTGACAGCTTTAAATCATCCAATCAAACGATGTCTTGTTCAGCTGTTGAGAGACATAGGATCCAGCTATCCCATCCATGTAACTTTAGTTTGCCTTTCTAAATCACTAGACAATTTTATTCCATTGTTTTGTAGTCATGTGGTTAATTTTAAAAGGCAGTAATCACATCAGTTAGCTATTTTAAAAGCCAACTTTCTTATTGACATAAGTGAAACTTTAATTACAAATGAAAAGAAATATATATAAAAGATGGTTAATTTATTTTTCCCCCCAGAAACAAAGTTTACATTTACCCACTGTGTGCATCAACTTTATGGCAACTTATTACGAGGTAGAAAGTAAAAAGGTCAAGTATTTTTTTTCATTTTTAACTTAAGCACTCGGCAAAAAAATAAATTCAACTCTTCCAACTTTTATTATATCAAATATTTTAAGGCCTGACATATGGACAGTGTAAAGACATAAATATTGTAGTTTTATGTAGCATGTCGTTTATTTTGTAAATGTGACTGAAAGTTTGATTGTTGGAACAGCCAAGAGGTGTGGCTGTAGTGTGTAGTTTTATGTAGCATGTCATGTGTTTTGTAAATGTGAAAGTTTGATTGTTGGAACAGCCATGTATTGTGGCTGTAGTGTGTAGTTTTGTGTAGCATGTCATGTGTTTTGTAAATGTGAAAGTTTGATTGTTGGAACAGCCAAGTGGTGTGGCAGAGATGACAAATCTGGAACAAATTGAAGAGCTCTGTGAGACATGTCTTGCTCCATTCTGGTCTTCATTTGGTCTAACTGTCATCACAGAAAATCTTTGGTAAGTTTCCGTTTGTTTTTAGAATATTTAGTTGGTTTTTAAATTTTATACTAAGCAGAATGGTTTTATAGATTTAGTAAACTTCAGATAGAAAAAAATTGATTTTGTTATCACTCTTATTTTCCATGTGTTAATGTAAGTATAGTTAGATATTTAAAATTTACTACAACAAATTTTCAACAGTGTTACTTTAAATTCTGATGTAAACATTGCCTATATTTTTTTACAATGAGGTTAATAGATTTCTTTCCTTGTCTTATTCAAAGGCACTTTTATACAATAATTCTTTTGATAGATAAGGGGATTTGCCCAACATTGAACTTGTCTGCCACTTACTTAACTACTTCCAAAAGAATGGCTGCAGTTGGCCACAAGACAGAAGGATTTAACCAATGATTTATTTCAGTTCTCATTCTAACATCTTGGTGCCAAAAGCTAATGAGCCAGTGGAACAAGCCAGTAGCCTGCCAAGCTTGGGCGTGTTTAAATTTGCAGACAGTGAAGGGGGAGACAAGCAGCAAGAAAACTGGAAGATGAACCTGCCCCTCCTGTTACCCCACTCGCCATTTGGATTTATCTCCTCTTTACTCCGGCTGGCACTGGTTTTATGTAAACGTCATAAAGGATTGATAAACAAGGTGGACAATTTTAAGTTCGCTTTATTTATTAAGATTTATGAGTATGTATATTAATGTTTTTCAAATAAAAAGTTAACAGTAAAAGTTATTAATTACCTGAAAGTGTAGATAAAAAAAGCTCTTCTGCTTCTCTGACAACAGCATATGAAATAATTAGTTAGTCATAAAAGCCATATTTTGTTTCACTAACTTTCCTCATTAGAGATTAAGCGAACAAAATTATCATATTCTAAACTTTAAAAAGTTGACCTTCAGAATATAAATGTAGTGCTAAGTACAATTTCACATACTGAATATAATTTCACGTACTGTGTATAATGTCATGTATTGAGTATAATTTCACGTACTGTGTATAATGTCACGTACTGTGTATAATGTCATGTTTTGAGTATAATTTCATGTACTGTGTAAAATGTCATGTATTGAGTATAATTTCATGTACTGTGTATGTCATGTATTGAGTATAATTTCATGTGCTGTGTATAATGTCATGTATTGAGTATAATTTCACGTACTGTGTAAAATGTCATGTATTGAGTATAATTTTACGTACTGTATCTAATGTCATGTATTGAGTATAATTTCATATACTGTGTACAATATCAAGTATTGAGTATAATTTCACATACTGTGTATAATGTATTAAGTATAATTTCACCTACTGTATATAATGTCATGTATTGAGTATAATTTCACGTACTGTATATAATGTCATGTATTGAGTATAATTTCACCTACTGTGTATAATGTCATGTATTGAGTATAATTTCATGTACTGTATTTAATGTATTGAGTATAATTTCTTCCTTGTGCAGCTTCTAGAGCCCATCACCATGAACAAGGATATCCTGCAGTACATGAAGAAAACTACAGTGACCCCAACCACATACCTCAGCAATTCTCACTTCACTCAAGCTGAAAATCTGTGCCAGTATTTTTGGCTGAAATGTTGTTCCATTTTGGTAGGTTTTCTTGTTCTAATTTGGTAGGTTTTCTTGTTCCACTTTGGTATGTTTTGTTGTTCCACTTTGGTAGGTTTTCTTATCCATATATTTTTCTTTAAAGAACTCTAGGCCACTATACCCAAAGCATTTCATTTTGTTAGTCATCTTTAAAACATTGGGTTTTCTCCATTTTATTAGCTTTAGGCATGTTAAGATGTACCAGTAATGTAAAAGTAAGAAAAATGGTCTAACCTGTTTGATTACAATTTAAACCTCTATGAAAGCTACCAACAAAAATTTAAAATATTGTCAACATTTTCCCCTTTTTTTGTTCAGCCGTGTCCTGACATGAGCACAGCCCACAAAGTGGCCTTGAACCTGTTGTCCAGACTGCACTACGGAGATGAGCATCTTGTCCATGACCTCATGTCCACCATCATATTTGCCCCGTCTTTCATTAGGTAACCAATACACTTTTTCATTTGGTAACCACTAGTCTCACATTGCTGTGTACAAAATATACTGTATAGTAATTAGAACAGAGTCTGCCATGACTGTCTTCCCTTTCTTTTTAAAATAAAATTAATATCATTAAGTAAAAGATGTTTTTGGGAATTAAAAAAGATCAATTGAGATAAAATTAATAAACTTCTGGTTAAATGCATTTTTCCAACAGAATTTTTATATCACAAACATGCCTCCCATTATTTGCCTTGACGCACCTCTTTAATAATTGTTACTTATTTAGCTTCATAGAGACATTGTTAAAGCCATCTGTTGCCATATAAATTAGAAAGATGTTTGCCATGCATATATTGAATTTATTTTTCCTAATAATTTAAAAAAAATATTTCTGTTTGAAGTGAAGGAGAAGAGATCCAGCTAGCTTCTCAAGCCATGTCAACTATGAGCCTTACTGAAACTCTACACTTGAAGAGTGCTACTCAAGAGCAGATAAACATCAACCAATGTCAGTTATTGCAAGAAACATATTCTTCCTTGTCAAAAATCAGAGGACACTTCCTGATGGCATTAGGTGGGATGGAAAAGGCAGTTCAAAACTCAAGGTAAGATACTTTAAAAATTGTATTTCATCAACAATAAAATGTAGAACTATTAATTTCTAAAAATATTTGTTTGATAAAACTTTACTATAAATTTAATTCTTTTTTTTTTTTAAATGTTATCAAACGGGAAACTAAATAGTTGAACCCATAACCTGCTAAAACAATTATTGTATGAAATCTTCAGAAACCTGCTGTGTGGAAACCCCTCTGCCATCTTATCACAGATGATCAAAAATGGAAATGAGATTTTAATGCCAAAAGATTGGATCTATATGCCTCTCATCCATGTATACAATAATGCTAGTCAAGGGTAAGTGTGAGGGTGGGGGTTTTGGGGATCTTCCGCCAGTTGTTAGGGTGGGGAAAAACAGCATGCACCACCAAATGTGAGAGTAGGGTGATGAAGATGAAGATGAAGAGAATCCAACACACACGTTCAAGTCAAATATAATGTTCTTTATTAAAAATGAACACAATCAACTTCCTACTTAACTAGCCTATTCTATTCTATACTATCTACTACTACTACTAACTACGCACTCCAATGACCAATCGTAACATACTATCTTTAACTCTCTACATATTTATGTCCATTCTCCTACCCTACCTAACTATCAATTCCTGGCCTAGCTGCAGACTGACACTTCAGTCGTCAGCTGACCGTCCCACGTGACCGATCAACTCCTGTATTTTCATTGATCTCTCTAACCAACTAGCTATAGTCTGTTTCTATTAACTTCTTCTACTTGACCTATCTGACCTAAATTAGCGTCATCACAGTAAGCCATTGTTAAAACTGTTCTGCCAGTTGTTTTTTTCCACACCTTCATTCACACACATTTAGTTTTCTTGCTTTTTCAAGACACTTTTGTTAAATAATATATTTTGATTTCTATAAATTAAACAATGAAAAAAGTTGTACAGCAGTATGTGTGACACCTTAGATCACTTTGTCTCCAGGGGTTCCATATCAGGAGTCAGCATGTCCCCCCAGTGCATTGCTATGGTTACCAGTGTTTTGCAGTGGAGTTATGCAATGGAGATTTGGAGGAGTGTGGAGATAGAGAAAATATCTGTCACAGTTAGAATATCCAGGGTTCTGTGTGCCTTTATAGCTGGTAGGTTGAGTGATTGCTCATAGAATATCCAGGGTCCTGTGTGCCTTTATAGCTGGTAGGTTGAGTGATAGCTCATAGACTAGGGTCCTGTGTGCTTATATAGCTGGTAGGTTGAGTGATAGCTCATAGACTAGGGTTCTGTGTGCTCTTATAGCTGGTAGGTTGAGTGATAGCTCATAGACTAGGGTCCTGTGTGCTTTTATAGCTGGTAGGTTGAGTGATAGCTCATAGACTACGGTTCTGTGTGCTCTTATAGCTGGTAGGTTGAGTGATAGCTCATAGACTAGGGTTCTGTGTGCTCTTATAGCTGGTAGGTTGAGTGATAGCTCATAGACTAGGGTCCTGTGTGCTTTTATAGCTGGTAGGTTGAGTGATAGCTCATAGACTATCCAGGGTCCTGTGTGCTTTTATAGCTGGTAAGTTGAGTGATAGCTCATAGACTAGGGTCCTGTGTGCTCTTATAGCTGGTAGGTTGAGTGATAGCTCATAGACTAGGGTCCTGTGTGCTTTTATAGCTGGTAGGTTGAGTTATTGCTCATATAACAAACTACTAGGCAGCAGTTGTTTGATTTTGGAGTTTTCTCTCTTAGTTGGGTTGCTGTCCCCATTGAGCCTCATCTGCCCAGGGTTCAAACATGAGACTTTTCAGTTTAGCACTCATGAGCTTTACCAACCCATAGAGTTTCTTCTAAGGATTTGTAATCTTGAATCCCCCCCTCCCCCATATGATTGACCTGTACCTGTAGGTGCTGATCTATTTTTGGAAAGACCAGTCCACCAATACCTGGCTGGCCTGCTCAGGGTCCTGAGTTCACACAAACTGCTGGATAAAATGGACTTTGAAGAAAAAATTCCAGGAATCACATCATTTTATGACCTGTAAGTTTCATTTTTTAGAGAAATCAAAACAAAAACCAACTGTTAAGGTTTTGGTAACCCTTTGTCCCTCTGGACATAAGGTGTTTTAAACTAACATACGCTTTCTAATATATGTCTTGATGGTCAGTTAACTGTCTAGCTGACTATGACCTCTCCATATGAGATGGTCAGCAATATGTCAAGCTGGCTTTTTAAAACACAAATACCTCTTATAGTTATGATAATGGTCAGGGTTAGGTACAGGTTAGTATTAGGTTAGTCATTATTTAAAAAATAGCACTGAATATATTCTGTTTGCACTTGAAACTATATTAATTTCATCCCTCCAGTTACCAAGAGTTCTTGGACCACTACGAGGCCGTGTCCTTTGGTGACCCAGTGTTTGGAATGTATGTGTTGCTGCCCCTGCAGCAGAAACATAGTCCTATGCTCAGGAAGGCTGTGTGGGGGGAGAGGAGGAAGATGCTGAGGACCTTGAGAGTCCCCCTAGAGGAGGTTAGCGTTAGAGTTCACTTTTCAAAATAAAAAGTGAAATCTTTATCAGAAAATAAATAAATTACTTTATATTGTCTTGTATTTTGTAAATGGTTTTGTGCTATTCTTTTGTTTTGTTTGAAATGGTTTTGTATTGTGTTTGTTTGAAATTGTGTTCTGTACTCTGTTAGATGCTGACACCCCTACACAACTGGTTCTGTACTGTTTGATGCTGACACCCCTACACAACTGGTACTGTACTGTTTGATGCTGACACCCCTACACAACTGGTACTGTACTGTTTGATGCTGACACCCCTACACAACTGGTACTGTACTGTTAGATGCTGACACCCCTACACAACTGGTACTGTACTGTTTGATGCTGACACCCCTACACAACTGGTACTGTACTGTTAGATGCTGACACCCCTACACAACTGGTACTGTACTGTTTGATGCTGACACCCCTACACAACTGGTACTGTACTGTTTGATGCTGATACCCCTACACAACTACTCTGTTAGATGCTGACACCCCTACACAACTAGTTCTTAGTTCTGTACTCTGTTAGATGCTGACACCCCTACACAGCTGGTTCTGTACTCTGTTAGATGCTGATCCCCCTACACAACTGGTTCTGTACTCTGTTAGATGCTGACACCCCTACTCATCTGGTTCTGTACTCTGTTAGATGCTGACACCCCTACACAACTACCTGGAGCCTGAGGAGACAGATGTTGAGCTGTTGCAGCTGTACACCTCATCATTGGTGACCAAAGCTGTGCAGCCTGTCTGGTCACCTGTGATGTATCTGTTGGCTGTCTACCATCTCAACAGGTTTATCTACATCTCTCAGCAGGATGATAAAGTTGAAGTGAGGAAGCACATCTGGTCACAGATAGTTAAACATAAAGATCAGGTTGGTAGAAAGTACTTTTTGTAAACATTTGGCCCCCTTGTTTTGTTTATGGTATAGATGATGCATAATAATTTGCCAACAGCTGCTTGGATATAAATCAGTTTGGTATCTTTTATCTTTATTTTATCAAAGCCTATTCCACAACCTCCTAAAACAATTTCTTGACAGTTAAGCACAAAAATTTTCAAATTCAACAGAGAAAGAAAGATTTTCTGATTGATTTCTCTCAAATTGTTGAAGTATCCCAAAATATCATCAGTTGGTACTCTCATTGTTGGTACTTCTCAATGTGTACATCAAACAATCCACTACAATGTCATCCAAAAAGTCATTGGTTGGTACTCTGTTGTCTTTGTCCATCCTTACAACCTCCCATGTGTACATCAAACAATCCACTACAATTTACTTAGTAACAAAGATGCTAAGAGCAGTAAATGTGTTATAAAAATTGATGTGAACAGAAAGTTGTCTATCTTGGCTGAAAAATCTTTCTGACTTTCATCAGTAAGGTGGGAATGGGTACAAAGTTGATTGAAACTTATTTAGATTATATCATTTCCCCCACTCTACTATATTAATTTTCTTATTTAAAATGTGTATGGGTCAATATGACCCATGTTAGTATGGCAAGTAAAGTAAACCCAAACTAGCACATGTGCCAAATTTGATATTATTTTTGTGTTGAAATAAAGCATGTTTTGTGTAGTTAATGTATCTAGAAGCTCACAAGAATAAGTAACCAACTATAGTGTGCCATTGTCTGGTCAGTTTGACCCACCTAGTTAGGAAAAGTTTGAATAAATTTTAAAAAAAGTCTTTTATTTGCTAAGTTAAAATTTACATTAAATAAAGAGGAAAATGTTTAATCTATTCTTGTTGTGTTTTTTTTTTTACATCAGACATTTTGTTCTGTTTTTGGATTAAAGAGTGAGCTCATATACATGTTTTAAAAAACTAATGATTATTTTATAGATTTTTTTAAAGGTTGATTGGCTTAAATCAACAATTGATCATTGATTATTCTTAAATCAATGAAGGATATAGCCACAGTTTCAGAAAATCAATATTTATTTTTGTTTGTTCAGACTTAAAAACCAACAAGAGTAATTTCAAACATTTTAGATATTAGATGTATGTATTTTGTTTAAAATTAGAGCAAAAAATTAAAAACAGATTGTTAAAATTTTAAAGTAAAAGAAATATTAAACCCTTTGTAATAATAAGCTTTTAAATACAATAAAAATAAGAAATATAAAAAAACTTGCTTCCTTTAGTGAAAGCATTGGATTAAAATATGTAAGAGGTTACTTGAGAGACCAAAGTGTTTTACAAAACAAACCAAGTTTGTTTAATTTTTTTTTTTTTGGTGGATTTAAAAGCTTGTATTTTACAAAGGTTCTTATATTTCTTTTATTTCTTCCAACCCCCTCCCCCCCCCCCCCTTTTTTTTTTTACCCTTGTTGATTCTTCTAATCTTTGTTCCAGATGAACGATGTCATCTATTTTAAACAAGCCAACGTGACCTGCCCATATGGACTAGAACTGTATGATAGTCTGCCACCCACCAGACAAGCCATGTTTAACCAATTTTTGATTCAGTCAGTCTGACACATTGCTGATTTATACCATTTTAGAAAAGCTCATTTCTTCAAGACTTATTGTTGCAGGAAAATGTAAAGACGAAAAAAGTTTTGTTAAAAAAACATGTTGAGTTCCAAATCACTTATTTTGTTGTTGAATAAAATAAAAATGTTTGCTTGAAAAAAAACTATTGACTTATCTGTGACAGATTGTAAAATAAAAAAAGCAATAAAGTTTAATGAAGTAAGTTTTTGCTTGCACTGATAGGCAGGTTTTTTTTTTATGGTCCTCACCTGTCTAATCCTGACTTGTCAGTAAACTTGTTCATCAGCTAAACCCTGACGTTTAAATACAGCGGATTGAAATGTTTTTGTCAGTAAACTTGTTCATCAGCTAAACCCTGACATTTAAATACAGCAGATTGAAATGTTTTTGTCAGTAAACTTGTTAGAATGTCTACAGGACATGTGTGCTCAAAATTAAAATGTCTACAGGACATATGCTCACAATTAGAATGAACGTCTACCACCCCACATAAAACTAGTTACTACCTCTAATAAATAACCTACTTATTCTATTCGCTCCCATGCCCCCCCACCCTAAAATTCCTCCGTGCTGATTATCTCTCCCCCCCTCCTTTCATTCTGCCTGAAAAGCACATGGTGTCTATTTAGGCCTATAATTGGATTTTTTTTATTGACTTGAGACTTGAAGCTGACTCCCAATTGCTAGAAATGTGACCTTAATGTCGATACTACTCCCTATAACAGTCACTTTTCATGAGTATAATCGGCCCGCTATAAGATTTGAAAACGTGTGTAAAACCAGGCCTATTCCCTGTAAGTCTACCGCATGACTGCTCAAAGCCAAAAATTGTATGTTTGGATCCCGGGCTGGTGACTTGATGACGTTGTCCGTTCAGCTCAAATGGACACCAGTCACACAAGATTGGCCATAACCCATTCGTCTTTAGGTCACCTCACTCTTATCAAAGCGGATCTTTCAGCTTTAGTTTTTGTTAATTTTTGGCTATAGACATAGAACCTACAAAGAACTTACAAATAGGCACACAGACCCATGACTTAACTAATGATTGGCTTTCCTCAGTTTTCCCTTTTTTTTCTTATTCAAACAGGCGTAGCGACCCTTCACGGCGCCCGGGGACAAACTTTCGATTTGCACCCCCCCCCTCGAACTTTCGTTTTGCACCCCCTCCTCGAACTTTCTATTTGCACCCCCCCCCCCTCTAAGGTCGGCGCCCGGGGACATATGTCCCCGCCCCCCCCCCCCTACGCCTCTGTCTTCAAATCAACCCACGATTTCCAGCCCCCATCTATCGCATCAGCAGTGGGCCTACTGTTAGTATCATTAGGCATTCACCTACCATCATTAGGCCTACTCCTAGTATCATTTGGCCTATCCTAGTATCCTTAGGCCTACTCCTACAATTATGACGTAGGCTTATTATCATCATAGGGCCTTCACATACCATCAATAGGCCTACTATTAGCCTAGCATTAATAGGCCCACTACTACAAGTATTCTAGTCCTACATGTTCAGAGCTTATATCGTAAATTATTCAACTATAAAAACACTTGTCTTCTTATTGCAAATGTTTTGGTTCCAGCCATATTACTCCTGTATGAGTTGGACTAGGCTTACTAAGGACCTTAGTAAAAGTAATCGTTCAAAGCAAGTGTAATATAGGCCTACTGTATGCTTCCCAAAGGTAGGCCCGGCTTATATAGGCCCACTGTAGGCTTCACAAGGGTAGACTAGGTAGGCCTACTATGTAGGCTTCCCAAGGGTAATCCAGGCCTGTATATGCCTACGAGAAAGACGAAATAAAACAGTGGCATAACTCTACAGCTCTGCCCCAAGGGAATTTCTCAAGCAACAAATAGATATAATCTAATAGATATAGCCTACTTATTACTTCTTTGGAACACTGAAAATGATGTTCTCTTCACCGGTTAGAAACTGTCCTTTATAAATTTATAGCATTTAGAATATAGATCTAGGTCTATGGGACCCATCAAAATATATATCTTTAGTTATTTTAAGCTCCTGCAAAGTAATATTTTCATGTGCCCCCCCCCCCCCCCAGATAAACGTATTCTTTATGCTTTTTAGCAATGTTTAACTATAGAATCTAGATAGAATTAAAAATAAATAAATTACATATCCAGTTTACTTCACTAAAACTTAATACAAGATATTTTCAGTCATGGGGATGTTGCTCGATGGTAGAACGTTCGCTTTTCATGTGAGAGGCCCCCGGGTTCGATAAGTTCATTTATTTCCAGGGAGTTGTCCTACTTAGCCCCGAAATACTTTACTTTTTTCCCACATAGAGTATTATAGTCTAGTGTGACTCAAGATAAATAGGAATGCATTATTTTTTAAAGGTTTAGTACTGGCTCTTCATTGATGAGCATCATTCCATCACTGCCTCCCACCAAATTGGAATTGTTTCCGTAAGGTAACTAGTAAACTCATCATATAGGGCCTAATAAGCAAATTTTAACAGAAAATTTGTTAGGAAAGTTAGGTTTTATTTTGTAATAAATTGCATGCACAAAATGAGAAAACAAGAAACATCTATGATTTTTTAATGCTCATTAACTCATTATTTATAAGTTATAGTCTTAGTACTAGTATGCTAATAACTAAGGTGTAGTATTTTTCCAACAAATAAAAACTAAGAAGTTATTCATTATGGTATTTTTCATATTTTTCTCTCATTTATACGCATTTAAAATCTACTCGTTCGGTGTAACAAAAAAAGAAACGCAACTTTTATATTTCAAAATAATTAAATTTATTTTCATCGAAATAAATTAAAAGTATTTTTAAAGAGGGCTTTTACCCAGAGATCGATCCGGGCTACTTTGATCACGTGATGAACACAATTATGTTGTTGTGGTGAGGACGCCATTTTTTCTTGTAACCTGTAGGAAACGACTGACAATGCCATCATGTTCACCGTTGTTTTGTTTAATTAGCCAACATTTGCTGCAATGTGAATTAAGAAGTATTTAAATAAGGCTTGTCTTTGCCGCATACTTGTTTTTGTAGTCTTGATTTTTGTTATTGTTAGTTTAATGGCGAGTAAAGTCCAAGTTGCCACCTTCCCTCAGCAGCATGACTTCAACGTTGATGGTCATATTGTAGACCCGATTTATTCTCGGTGGAATATGGAAGAGGACGACGTAGCAGGTCAGTTGAAAGATGACAGTTTCAAGAAACGTGTAGAAGTGCTTGAACAGCTAATTATTACTGTTAAGCGAAATGGTGGACGTTTGCCGTATGCAGATGGAGAATCCATTTTCAGGAGTTTGGGGCTGGCTCTGTCAGATTCAAATTGGGAAATTAGAAACAAATGTATTCAGTTATTACAAGAAATCATTCCCAATCTTGGCGACGAGATTGACCGATATATGTCACTGGTTTTAAATAAACTGGTTACTAATATTGGGGATAGTAAAGTTACAGTCAGAAGGATGGTTGTACAAGCCCTCCATGCATACATGAAATATACTCATAACCTTCCATCTATTTTTGAAGCACTTGTAAACTTTGGACTAGAGAATGAAAACCCTGCAGTTAGAAGAGAAATGGTTACATCATTACCTATGTTATTAACCCAAGAATTCCTTACACAAGACTTGTCTAAAATTATCACATCCCTCGCCAAAAAACTGCTAGATACTTCACCTGAGGGAAATTTAAAAGAGAGCTCATTGTTAACTTTAAATCAGATTGAGCAGTTAGTTGATGAAAAAGTTTTTGCAGAATATTTGAAAAAGCTCTCAATGCCACTACAAAATTACTACTTACAATTGTCAGGAAAACATAGCAGTTATAATGACATTGATGGTGACTACCATCATAATTTGATGTATCAAGGGATAGGTAATATGAGAAATGACAGTCGAAGAGGTTATGTGGAAGAATCAGTTGAATTTGGTGTGGTACCTAGTCATGTACTTAGCAGAATAAATGACCAAAAAGATTTTAGGACCAGGGCTCAAGCTGTCGAAGAACTTAACAACATTATCAAAAACAAAACAAACCATGAAATCTCAACAAGCCTTATGCCACATATGAATCCTTTTCTTAGTTTTCTTAGTAATCTTTTGGATGACTCAAATTTCAAAATCACCCATGTGACACTAGAAATAATTCAAAACTTGGTGGAGAAAATGGATAAAAGTATAAACAATTTTCTTAAGCCTCTTAAATCTGCTTTGCTCAAAAGAATGGGGGATAACAAAACTGTAATAAGGCAACTTGTGATGACTATTGTAATAAAAATGATGAGAACTGCATCTCCACAAGCTGTCATCAATGTGATAGAAGATAATCTACAACACAAAAACTCACGTGTAAGACAGGAAACTATCAACTTTATTATAGCTGCTCTTTTGACTTTTCCTAGTTATGAATTTGACTTGTCAGCTATTTGCTATATAGTTGGACCAACATTGACTGATGTTAAAAGGGCAGTGAGACAAGCTGCTTTAGAATGTTTTGCTACACTTGCTCAGGGAATGGGATCTGGCCAGCTTCAGCCTCTTGTATCAGCAGTAGATCAAGTTGAGTTAAGTTCGGATGGGGAAGGGTTAATGGCTGCTGTACAAGCTCGGCTAGCCAGGAAGCAACTCCCTAAGTTAACCCAAGATGGACTGGTTGAGTATGCTACTCAGACTCCATCTTCAGCTACAGTGCGATCTTCTTCAGCACAGCAGAGTGCAGATACAGAGTGGATCATGGCAGTTGGAGCTGGCAGTGTTTCAAATACAGCCCGGACTGCTAGGTCAGACTCAATGGAAGTTGAATCAGTAAATGTATCTGCTAGATCAACACCAATGGCTTCTGAGACATCTGCTCCCACTTCTGCTCCAAGAAGATTTATGAGTGCTGGAAGGGGTAGAAACAAACTGCCATGGGAGGAAGACAGAGATGAGAGGATTGCACCATATAACAACCTCCCTAATGCTGCATTCAACCAGGTAACTTACATTCATTGAAGTCTGCTACATGCACTAATAATGCACACTCTTCTTTTGACAGTTGTACCTTCAATTCTGCACCTATCTTTCTAATTTCAACATAATACAATCAATTTGAAGTTCTTTTTGGCATTATGACCCCACTATTCTAACTTCTTGTATTATCTTTATTATCATTATCATAGTTATATTCTCTTTTTTTTGGGTCTTGGTAAAATGCAAAACATGAAATGTCGAGGCAGTAAATTTCAAGAAAAAAATGCGAGACATCAGATTCATTTGACTTTAAATGCGTTTGAGGCGAGCGGCTACATTATAGTTTTTATAACAAGAACAACTTTAAAAAGTGTTTAAAAATTAAAGTCAGTATCTAAGTTGATATATTGTAAATCATTGGCACGTTGGAATTTTTGGTGCAGTAAAATGTTTGCAGATATTATCACAGTTTATCCACATGAAGCCTACTAAATTACTAAACGGTTGGGGGTAAAATGCAAGACAAAATGTCACATGACAGGCCTTTTTCTCACCTACTTGCTATTTACCAACTTGCGATTTTGCATCACGCATTTTACCAAGCCCCCCTTTTTTGCACTTTAAAAGCAATAGAACAAAAAAAAATTTCTTTAGACATGGTTTGTTAATTTTGTTTGTATTGTATTTCTGGCATTAGGTATTACATTATTTTTTAGGCATAGAGAACTAATTTCCACAAAAATCTCATAAGAGTTACTTATTGAGTCATGATTTTACATCTGAATTTACTTTTAAAGTAACCCCAACTTTATCATCCATGCACATTTCAATTTCTCTTAGTTAGTATTACTTTTTTAATATGTCATTTTTTATGACAGATAGTTGATCTGACATATTGCATTATGGTTATATTATTCGAATATTTACAAAGTAAGGAAGCTATTGAGTACAATCTGCATTGTTGTCTATATTAAATAAGGTATCAAGAGTAGTAAAATCAGCACGAGCTGTGGTAAGTTTTATTAAACTTCATGCTAGCTGTTTAATGCCAATAAGTTTTTTTTTCAACTACAATATTGGCCGCTAAAGTGGGCTAACGCTAAAGGCTTTGTAGTTAAATATTATATTCTATAACTCAAGAATTAACCTTTTTTATAGCAATTTTTGCATTGATTTGAAATAAAACTGATTTTTATTTTATCTTCACTAAAGCATAAGTTGTGTATTATAATTGGCCTATTTCAGTTATATTATATGTTTTATTTTATGAAGTATAATGACTAGATTTTTTCAGTTAAATGTCTTTTCTTATAGAAACTAACACATTTCTTATTTTAGCAACTCTTTTTTAAGTTTGTTGGTAGTTGTGTTTGCAGCAAATAGTTTTAGTATATATCTTGTTCGCAAGTATGTAGAGAGCTGAGATTTAACTCAAGTGTGTTGGTAACAATATATATATATATATATATATATATATATATATATATATATATATATATATATATATATATATATATATATATATATATATATATATATATATATATATATATATATATATATATATAGTTGTCTCTACATTTTTGTTGAATTTTTCCTGATAATATTAAATGACCTTTCTATTGTTACGAAAATGTTTTTTTTTAATATAAAAAAATTCTTGGGACAATGGATGGAATGTCATACTCCTGTATACTGACTCATGTGTAAATACATGGCTAGAAATCCTACTTGGAATCTTGGCAAGGGGCATTGACTTAAAGAAACGAGAGATTCTTGTTTCTACCTTGTTCAAGTACATTAAAGAAGTTAAGCCAACAAACTTTGAGGAAGCCATGATTGTCTACTCCATAAAGATTGCCTTTTTCTGGTCTGGAGTCAAATATTTGCTTTATGAATGAACTACTCAGCTGACCTAGAATTCCTGGTTGTCTCCCCAAACTCTAGTCAGATAGCACTAAGTTAATTGTTGTTGAAACTTAGCATTTATAGTTTTACCTAGAATGCTATATAGTTTCTAAATAGCTTTCTTTTAGCATTAGTAACCAAACCTAGTTGCACTTTTATTTCATTAAAAATAACCATTTAACAAGTAGTCAATTTAAGTACACATTATCATTATTACAATAATGGCATTGTCTTACTTTTTAAAAATAATTATTAGCAATGAATTTATGTGAGGGATTTGATTAAAACATTGTTTTAGTTTTTAAAATAAATGTTTATAGGGATGTGACCATCAAAAGTTGTAAGACTACAGACACACAATTGGTTCATGTACGATAGTGTATGATGTCAGTCTCAATTTTGACATTTTGTGGAAAACATGTGTTGTGGTCCTATTAATTGTCATACAGCTTTAATATTTTTTATAACGTTTATTGCAATTAAAAGAAGAATTTAGAGTGTGAAGAGAAAAATTAGTATGTTTTAAACATAGTATTACAATATTTTTTTCAAGGATTTTTCCCATTACCAACCAGAAATGCATGCAAAGTATTAACCAATTTGAAGGGGGGGTGTTAACAGTACTCTGATTTGTGACCTCTATTTCTGTTTACATCATTGCTCGCTTACTACAGAATTGCTATTTGAGTATTTTTATCAGGGGTCATCCACAAATAACGTTACACACCAGAAGGGTGGGAGGAGAGTTTCAGAAAATGCGCCTACACACTTTTGCAATAATGCTAGAACCTAATTTAAGCAGTTCTGTAATGTAGCTATTTTTTTTTATTTCAATAAAATTCGTTATAGGCCTACTCAGTGTTACCATGCTCTGTAAAATTTTTTTCTCTAAAACTACAGTTTTGAGATGTGTGGTAAGCTTAGGTGTGACATCATTTTAGGTATTGGGACTTGGCTAATAGTAAAGCTGCGTTGCATTAAGGAGGGAGGGGAGGTAAAAAATTGCTAAATATCATGACGTTGCTTATGAGTGATTATGACATGGAAAACACAGACTACATATAAATCCAGTGCTTTATTTACACGTCACGATGGGGTTTTTAAACACGAGCACTGTTATCTTAATTTTACTGTTTACATGCAGGACACAAGTTTTAGTTTTATGTTAGTTTTAAAATATAAGCACTTCCATGTTAAATGTGGACGTCGACATAGACCCAAAAGTAATTTTTTTTGGGCCCCCTCCCACCTCTTCAGCATGGACGTCATTAATGGATGACCCCCTAAGACTACAGACACTAGACACACAATTGGTTCATGTATGATAGTGTATGATGTCAGTCCCAATTTTGACATTTTGTAGAGCTTTACTGTGGAAGATGTCCCACCAAAGCCCAGACAAACATGGATTGGAGATGGTGACATGCAGCAGAAGCAGAATATTCAAGAACGCCATTCACCTAAACGACGAACAACTGTCATGGTGCTTAATCCATCAGATGACACAGATAATGGTGAGAAAACAAATATTTATACCCGTTTGTCTCAGCCTTGTTGTAAAATTTACACATAAAAGTTTGTTGCTGTAACATTCACACATAAAAGTTTACTGCTGTAAAATTCACACATAAAAGTTTGCTGCTGTAACATTCACACATAAAAGTTTACTGCTGTAAAATTTACACAAAAGTTTGCTGCTGTAAAATTTACACATAAAAGTTTGCTGCTGTAACATTCACACATAAAAGTTTACTGCTGTAAAATTTACACAAAAGTTTGCTGCTGTAAAATTTACACATAAAAGTTTGTTGCTGTAACATTCACACATAAAAGTTTACTGCTGTAAAATTCACACATAAAAGTTTGCTGCTGTAACATTCACACATAAAAGTTTACTGCTGTAAAATTTACACAAAAGTTTGCTGCTGTAAAATTTACACATAAAAGTTTGCTGCTGTAAAATTCACACGTAAAAGTTTGTTGCTGTTTAATTCACACATAAAAGTTTGTTGCTGTAACATTCACACATAAAAGTTTGTTGCTGTTTAATTCACACATAAAAGTTTGCTGCTGTAACATTCACACATAAAAGTTTACTGCTGTAAAATTTACACATAAAAGTTTGCTGCTGTAAAATTTACACATAAAAGTTTGCTGCTGTAACATTCACACATAAAAGTTTGCTGCTGTAAAATTTACACATAAAAGTTTGCTGCTGTAAAATTTACACATAAAAGTTTGCTGCTGTAAAATTCACACATAAAAGTTTGTTGCTGTTTAATTCACACATAAAAGTTTGTTGCTGTAACATTCACACATAAAAGTTTGCTGCTGTAAAATTTACACATAAAAGTTTGCTGCTGTATAATTTACACATAAAAGTTTGCTGCTGTAACATTCACACATAAAAGTTTGCTGCTGTAAAATTTACACAAAAGTTTGCTGCTGTAAAATTTACACATAAAAGTTTGCTGCTGTAACATTCACACATAAAAGTTTGCTGCTGTAAAATTTACACATAAAAGTTTGTTGCTGTAACATTCACACATAAAAGTTTGCTGCTGTAAAATTTACACATAAAAGTTAGCTGCTGTAAAATTCACACATAAAAGTTTGTTGCTGTTTAATTCACACATAAAAGTTTGTTGCTGTAACATTCACACATAAAAGTTTGTTGCTGTTTAATTCACACATAAAAGTTTGTTGCTGTATTATGTTTTTGTAACATTGACACATAAAAGGCCAGCAATAAGATATTAAAAATCAGCTGTTCCAAGATGTAAAGTTTTAGTCATATTACCTCCAGTTAAGAAAAACCAAACAAATCTTGTGCACCAGATTTTAAAAAAATCTCTACTGACACTGAATTACATTTAAAATACATTTTGTTTTTAAATTGAAATGCCAAAAACATTTTTTTAACTGCAGAAGCAAATATTAAATAATTTTTTATAAATAAAAAGCTAATAATTTGAAAACAAAAAGTTTGATCATGGAAGAGCGTTGAACTTGCTAGAGTGTTTAAATAAATTTGTATGCCCCAAAATTAATTTTTTTGTGTCACCTATCATAACATTTATCTAAAAATCAATATTCTTTCTTCACCCAACCAGATCCCTAGATTTTAATGTAAAGGTAATTGTCACCCATTCATTTAATGCTACATTTATGTCTATTTTATTCTTGCCCCCATAAATCAATAAATATTCGGCATATCAATGAATACATTTATTTGAAGGTGTTTCTGATAATCAATAGCCCTGCATACATGAATATGGGGGCCTATGTTCTATAAAGAGATTTGTAAACACAGAGAATACATACTTTTTGTTGAATTCAGGAATCTAAAAATACATTTATAATTAAACCCTTTTTAGTTCAAATTGCTTTAAAGTTTTTAGATCCAACAAAAAGACAGCTGCACTTTGAATAGGTGTGCTATGTTTACAAATTCTTAACAGAACTAAATCTCCAAAACATTTTTGTTACCAAATAGAAAAACATGTAGCTATTTGCTGTTTTATTTAGTTTGGTTGGAGGCTTCCTCTTTTTATTATGTCTGTCTGTCTGTACAATGTGGGTTTGTGGATCTGCTAAATCATATTTGACCACCTTCTAATGCAGTTTTTTCATTCAAACCAGATGATTTCATTTCCAATGACAACACAATGATATCTAATTATTTTTGTATCTAATTAGATATTGCACATAATTGTTGATTAGTGTTAAGATCTCATTGGGTTTTTGAAGTAAATATTTTTTTAGAGATGTTGACAAGAACAGACAGAGCTTGTTTAGTTTTCATTAAAAAGTTTGTTATTATGTTTTTAGATTTGTTTATGTCAATTATATTGTGTGTTGAAACAGAATTTGTTGCTCCCCATCCATAGGCTCTTACTCTCAGCTGTATCAACAAAAACTGAGGCGCCAGCAGAATTTTTCTGTGAGAACATCCAGATCTGATGGTGAGTTGACACTTTCTCTTCTATCTATTCAATAGAATCATATGTTGTTGACACTTTCTCTTCTATCTATTCAAAGGAATCATACTTTTTTTATAAATCATATTTATGATTCTTTAAAAATATTTTTCCATGTCCATTATTTTGAGAGTGCCAGTTCGACCTAATTGTGCTATGTTGAATATGTTGACCATATAAACACTAGCTGGTGTATATGTTGTGGCTGAAGTTTAGCAAGTTGGCTAGTTACAATTAAAAAGTGTTAAATGTCATTGCACCTTACATGTCAGATCATAGAGAGCCTGTCATTACACCCTACATGTCAGATCATAGAGAGCCTGTCATTACACCTTACATGTCAGATCATAGAGAGCCTGTCATTACACCTTAATGTCAGATCATAGAGAGCCTGTCATTACACCTTACATGTCAGATCATAGAGAGCATGTCATTACACCTTACATGTCAGATCATAGAGAGCCTGTCATTACACCTTACATGTCAGATCATAGAGAGCCTGTCATTACACCTTACATGTCAGATCATAGAGAGCCTGTCATTACAGTGACACCCTACATGTCAGATCATAGAGAGCCTGTCATTGCACCTTACATGTCAGATCATAGAGAGCCTGTCATTACAGTGACACCCTACTTATCAGATCATAGAGAGCCTGTCATTACACCCTACATGTCAGATCATAGAAAGCCTGTCATTACACCTTACATGTCAGATCATAGAGAGCCTGTCATTACACCCTACATGTCAGATCATAGAGAGCCTGTCATTACACCCTACATGTCAGATCATAGAGAGTCTGTCATTACACCTTACATGTCAGATCATAGAGAGCCTGTCATTACACCTTACATATCAGATCATAGAAAGCCTGTCATTACACCCTACAAGTCAGATCATAGAGAGCCTGTCATTACACCCTACATGTCAGATCATAGAGAGCCTGTCATTACACCTTACATGTCAGATCATACAGAGCCTGTCATTACACCTTACATGTCAGATCATAGAGAGCCTGTCATTACACCCTACATGTCAGATCATAGAAAGCCTGTCATTACACCTTACATGTCAGATCATAGAGAGCCTGTCATTACACCCTACATGTCAGATCATAGAGAGCCTGTCATTACACCCTACATGTCAGATCATAGAGAGCCTGGCATTACACCTTACATGTCAGATCATAGAGAGCCTGTCATTACACCTTACATGTCAGATCATAGAGAGCCTGTCATTACACCCTACATGTCAGATCATAGAGAGCCTGTCATTACACCTTACATGTCAGATCATACAGAGCCTGTCATTACACCTTACATGTCAGATCATAGAGAGCCTGTCATTGCACCTTACATGTCAGATCATAGAGAGCCTGTCATTACAGTGACACCCTACATATCAGATCATAGAGAGCCTGTCATTACACGCTACATGTCAGATCATAGAAAGCCTGTCATTACACCTTACATGTCAGATCATAGAGAGCCTGTCATTACACCCTACATGTCAGATCATAGAGAGCCTGTCATTACACCCTACATGTCAGATCATAGAGAGTCTGTCATTACACCTTACATGTCAGATCATAGAGAGCCTGTCATTACACCTTACATATCAGATCATAGAAAGCCTGTCATTACACCCTACAAGTCAGATCATAGAGAGCCTGTCATTACACCCTACATGTCAGATCATAGAGAGCCTGTCATTACACCTTACATGTCAGATCATAGAGAGCCTGTCATTACACCCTACATGTCAGATCATAGAGAGCCTGTCATTACACCCTACATGTCAGATCATAGAGAGCCTGGCATTACACCTTACATGTCAGATCATAGAGAGCCTGTCATTACACCTTACATGTCAGATCATAGAGAGCCTGTCATTACACCCTACATGTCAGATCATAGAGAGCCTGTCATTACACCTTACATGTCAGATCATACAGAGCCTGTCATTACACCTTACATGTCAGATCATAGAGAGCCTGTCATTGCACCTTACATGTCAGATCATAGAGAGCCTGTCATTACAGTGACACCCTACATATCAGATCATAGAGAGCCTGTCATTACACGCTACATGTCAGATCATAGAAAGCCTGTCATTACACCTTACATGTCAGATCATAGAGAGCCTGTCATTACACCCTACATGTCAGATCATAGAGAGCCTGTCATTACACCCTACATGTCAGATCATAGAGAGTCTGTCATTACACCTTACATGTCAGATCATAGAGAGCCTGTCATTACACCTTACATATCAGATCATAGAAAGCCTGTCATTACACCCTACAAGTCAGATCATAGAGAGCCTGTCATTACACCCTACATGTCAGATCATAGAGAGCCTGTCATTACACCTTACATGTCAGATCATACAGAGCCTGTCATTACACCTTACATGTCAGATCATAGAGAGCCTGTCATTACACCCTACATGTCAGATCATAGAAAGCCTGTCATTACACCTTACATGTCAGATCATAGAGAGCCTGTCATTACACCCTACATGTCAGATCATAGAGAGCCTGTCATTACACCCTACATGTCAGATCATAGAGAGCCTGTCATTACACCTTACATGTCAGATCATAGAGAGCCTGTCATTACACCTTACATGTCAGATCATAGAGAGCCTGTCATTACACCCTACATGTCAGATCATAGAGAGCCTGTCATTACACCTTACATGTCAGATCATACAGAGCCTGTCATTACACCTTACATGTCAGATCATAGAGAGCCTGTCATTACACCTTACATGTCAGATCATAGAGAGCCTGTCATTACACCCTACATGTCAGATCATAGAGAGCCTGTCATTACACCCTACATGTCAGATCATAGAGAACCTGTCATTACACCCTACATGTCAGATCATAGAAAGCCTGTCATTACACCTTACATGTCAGATCATAGAGAGCCTGTCATTACACCCTACATGTCAGATCATAGAGAGCCTGTCATTACACCCTACATGTCAGATCATAGAGAGTCTGTCATTACACCTTAGATGTCAGATCATAGAGAGTCTGTCATTACACCTTACATGTCAGATCATACAGAGCCTGTCATTACACCTTACATGTCAGATCATAGAAAGCCTGTCATTACACTGTACATGTCAGATCATAGAGAGCCTGTCATTACACCTTACATGTCAGATCATAGAAAGCCTGTCATTACACTGTACATGTCAGATCATAGAGAGCCTGTCATTACACCTTACATGTCAGATCATAGAAAGCCTGTCATTACACCTTACATTTCAGATCATAGAGAGCCTGTCAGTTTACTATGATTGTACCCTACAACACACACACACACCAGGTCACACAGAATGTCATGTCATAATTTTTGTCATGTAAAATGAAAACTTTTTCATTGATTAACAAATAGCTATTCATTATTTAATTAATAATTCACACACTATTCCATCATAGATATGTTTTTGTTATAATAATAAATACATGGGCATGTTTTTATTTTTAAAAATGGAGTAGGGATTTGTAAATAATGATCACCCTCATAGTCATTTATGGATAGCTAATAACCAAATGTATAATTACCATTTGTAGTTAAATTTAAATGGCTAATATTTGGGTTAAAAATAATACATTTTAAACAGTTGTTTTTTGGCCATTGATGTAAAATGTTCGACCACATAAATCAATGAACCGCTTGTATGCATTCTTTTGTGAAGGTGTGCTCCATGCAGCAGTTCTGTCCCCTGTGTATTGAGCTTGTTGTCTCGAGTGGCTTGCCCCTGGCTTAGTTACCTGCTGGGCTGGAAGATTGTTTTAATCTCTATCAATAGAATTGATTAAGCGGGGGTCTCAGTTCCTACAGTCTGGCCACTAGCGCCACTGTTTCATTCAGCCGGGCCAGAGGAACACAATAAGGTCCGTATAGAGAAATATAGACAGGGCATGAAGTGACATTTCTTTGACTGAGCCCTGCTTGGCTTATACAGACACACTGATTATTTGTTAGATCCTTGAGTTGGATACTTAAAACTCTGGATTATTCACTAAACACTTAGGGGTTACCCAGTTAAGACATTCATTCTTTTGGACAACCTCCCACCACACCCTCCCTGTCGGCACAAATTATATCATACCTTACCCTTAAACGTAATTTGTGGACATTTAACTTGAGTAGTCTCCCATTATTGGTTGATCCATGTTCTCACCCTGCTCCCGTTCATCTGGGCAAAAGTTAAGTAACTTGTTAGACCAGATGTTTCATGGGGTAGATGAAGTAGAGTTTATCTTTTTCTCTGACTACAGCGTAGGAAGGGTGATTTGGTCAACAGAAACTTTAAGTTTCCCCATCTAGTGCTGGGCCTGGGAAATCCTACGCATGAGCCCGTAGTCTCAATTAGAGGCTGTATTGCACTCGGCATCCAACCTGGGGTAGCCTCCCGTTATAGGCTGACCTTGGTCCATCTAACCTGGGGTAGCCTCCCGTTATTGGCTGACCTTGGTCCATCTAACCTGTGGTATCCTCCCGTTATTGTTGACCTTGGTCCATCCAACCTGGGGTAGCCTCCCGTTATAGGCTGACCTTGGTCCATCCAACCTGTGGTAGCCTCCCGTTATTGGCTGACCTTGGTCCATCTAACCTGTGGTATCCTCCCGTTATTGGTTGACCTTGGTCCATCTAACCTGGGGTAGCCTCCCGTTATTGGTTGACCTTGGTCCATCTAACCTGGGGTAGCCTCCCGTTATTGGCTGACCTTGGTCCATCTAACCTGTGGTAGCCTCCCGTTATTGGTTGACCTTGGTCCATCTAACCTGGGGTAGCCTCCCGTTATTGGTTGACCTTGGTCCATCTAACCTGGGGTAGCCTCCCGTTATTGGTTGACCTTGGTCCATCTAACCTGGGGTAGCATCCCGTTATTGTTGACCTTGGTCCATCCAACCTGTGGTAGCCTCCCGTTATTGGTTGACCTTGGTCCATCTAACCTGGGGT